GCTTTGTTGTTGAGTTAAAGTTTACATGCAATAGACTAAATTTTAATTATGTGAAGGGAACTGTTTGTATAGATTAAGTGCTTAGTCATGTTAATCTCTACAAAGTAATTGTGATTTTATTGCTTCTCGCGAACTAGCGGGGAGGCAAATAAAGACAACTGAATTTACTAATGTATTTTATAGGTATAAAGCTGTTTATTGTTCATCACCGCGATTTCTTTTTGCTCTTATTTACATGCTTTTATAATAAAAAAAAATTCACAAAAGCGAAACAATTGTTAATTAATTATATTTGGTGCATACAATTTGCGGATTGTGATAGTTTTAGTGATTTTAATAAGTCTTATTTTTGTGTTTGTCTATTTGACGTCACTCTGTCATTCGCACAATTCGTTAATAAATACTTATTGCTTACCCGTGACTTCGTCTATCTTTTTTTACTTATTTCATTCTCTATCAGACTTTTTAGAGATACAAGAATGCTTATATCACTTCCCTAATATTCGTCTATTTTCATATCAAATTACATTAAGATCCATTCATTTAATCATGGAAGAACAGGCAGACAGACAAATACTATTTCGCATTTACAATATCAATAAGGAATATTATGATATGAACATATACAGTATGAATTGCAGTCACCCGCGACGGGCACTTCTTTATGACAAAGAAAACTGAACTCTAAAAAGAGTCAGTTTTGTGAATTAATTAGTCTATTCTAATTGTTTTAATTGTGGACATATATTAATTAAGTATATGAGTATTTATTTTACCAATAATCAACTAATCTGGACTAATGAAGTGGAGGTAGTGAAAACAATATTAATCATAAAAAAACTTGACGTTCATAAGCGGCTAAAATGTCCTACATGAATAAATTATTTTTTAGTAAATACATAGCTGTGCATATGCAACTGAGCTGGTTATAATGCTATAGATAATAATATGAATAATATACACAGAACAACATAATTATTATGTTTTTGTCACGGTAGTTTCATTACTATATTCGATGTAGGTATTAATGAAAAAAGATGTACTTAGACATTAGTAAAAGATACTGAACCTTTATGTAACTTGTATTATTGTGTTACAGAAATCTAAATATCCTAGTCTAAATTAAGTTAGTTGGTATCATAAAATGGAAACTGGAAACGAAAACCAGGTACAACGACAGATAATAATCGTAACATCACTACAAAATACTGCCAAGATAAGATGCCTGTTTTATTTTTATACAAATAGCTTCTGTGTAATACCACCCTCAGAGGCATATTCAGTTATTTAGTTATATATTTGTACCTATTGAATTCAAAATATTGAATGTAATTTGACAGACGTTCTTTATTAGTGTGTCAAATTTCTGGATACCTATACTTTAATATTTTTGCTGGTAAGACAAGGAATTACTAATATTCAGTTGGCAACTTTGTTAAAATCTAAATATTTGATTAAGGTTACAATTTTACTAATATCGTAACAGTAATGATGATGTATGGAACTTTTATGCAGCGTATAACCTAAAATATATGGGTTGGATTAATTTAATAAAGGGGTTTCGTAAGATTTATATAGGTATTTTAATATTTTAATTCAATGCTCATTTTGTAGCGCTCTAATATAATACAATATCTCATTGTGTATGTATTTACTTAGAAGTAGTTTAGAGTAACATCAAATTGTAACAAATAAAAAAGTAGTCTCCAATTACAAATATAAAATTAAGTATTTATTGTTGTGGTTTTTTATTTCGGGTTGCTCGTTTTTTTCTGTCACAGGATATCTGAGTTCACACTACTATCTTTAAAATAGTTTATTCATTTCAAGTAGAAACATTATCACATATAAACAATTGTGCAGGTATTAATATATGTGTTAAAATAAATTCTTACTATATATGTGTGTAATATATATTCATCTGCAACCAATTTCGGAGTAAAGCTTCAACGAATATTTTTACAAAAATCGAAGATACACGCCTGCAAATATGGTGAAAAGGTTATTGAACAAATTTAAAAAATGATCCCCTATTACAATACATTTTGTTTTTACGTTTTTCAGAGGTAGTAACGGAACGTGCCCGATTATTCGTATGAATTTACTCAGCATAGCTAAATCCCTATCACTTTCACTGTAATCCACTGATTAGCTTTATCAAAATGTACGATTCATTCTCTGTTAGAATATTTAATGTCTGGGTAACTTTTTAGATTATAGCTCTTTTTTCGGAACTAATTCCGGAGTTTTTTATCCAGGTCTGTAATTCTACTACAAGCATTTTACCTTAGCTTTACGTTAACTTCAAGCATTAGACAAGCATTAAGAATGTATGGTCTGATGGTATCACACACATCATATATATATACGGTATAAAATAACTTAATTCAATTAGTATTGCTATGAGTGCACAATGATGTTAGAGAGTGAACTCAAGGGAATGTGGTACGAGTATGTTTGGGTGTTATATGAATAGCAGGAAAAAGCTGACGGCTGTACTGTGATGAATAGCGTTGGCTTAGTTTATTTTAATAAAAGGAAAATTCCCGTACTTAATTAGGTATATAAATTAATCACCCCACAGAATATTATTTGTTAAATCACCAGATACGTTAAATGAAGTTGAATTTATAGAACATTAAGATTTTGTGTAGGAATATATTTAATTTACATAAGAGGAAAAATAAAATGTATGTACAATTTCAAAATGCAGGATTGCATATTGCTGACAAAGCAATAGCTACACGGAAACCATAATGCACGTGCTTATTGCACATAAAATATGTGATCAACTTTTATGTTTCATAATACATATGAAACAAACTTTGTAGTAGACTATTAAAAAATGCCTGCTATATTTTAAAACTTTTTTATGAAAAAATAAATGGCTCTAATGAATTTCTTCGGTTAATTTGCAGTATGTAACTTAGTTTAGGGAGAGCCACGTTTTTTCACAACATTAAAAAAGGGCAAGTGTTGTTTAAACCCATAAATTGTGAAAGTAATTATGTTTGAACATACCATTATTTTATTAAATGGTTGGTGCTGCAATATTGGGTACGTGGGACACAGTACACGTTTCTTTCCTAGCTGGCTCCATGCCAGCTTCCACTCTGGAATCTATTTGGCTATTAAGCGTGAAATACAAATGACTAAAAGAATAAAATAAATATACGATGTGCATTTTATTTGAATTCAATTTACATTAATCGTATAAATTCTATAACTATCTCCCAACATACATGTATTTTTTACTATGAAAAATTCATACATCACCATCCATTTCCATTTCCATCATCACAAATCCATTTCCAAACAAAGACAGTTTGTACATTTTATATTCCTATATGGGCATTACTAATAATCTTATTGTTGATATATTTATTATTTAAATTTCCAGTAAACTTACAAGTAATGAGTGATGTGGCTTCAACTACAAAATAATGCTTTACAGGTGTACATTTGGAAAGATGGCACAGCGGCGTGATGAATAATATCAAGAAACAGATATACAGCAACATTGAAAGATAGAAGTGACGTTTTTGAGAATCTTGGAAAATGGTGTTGATATGTTTCGGATCGAACGTTCCACGAACACATTTTGATCTCCATGAAATTCACCACAATTTTTTAATATAATTTATGCTTAGAAAGATATAAATTCCCGTAGCCTATGGCATCCTATCGTAATGAATATCTGCACTTCATATTATACACTGTAGACGCGAATTTTTGAACTATTTTGATAACACTCTATATAAATATAGTTTATTATAATAACTAATCATTTCAATCACTTCACGATATTATACATAACGAATTTTTGAACTATTTTGATCTCTATATAAAAAATATATTAATTATGAATACATAATTAATATCTTTTCAGAAATGTTATAATCAGGAACTAAACGATCAAAGTAATATCTTAAGTAAGATTATGCAGTATAATGATAAATAGGTAAGCGATGTTTTGAAAAGATTAATATCTTGGTACTCAATATTTCCACTACTAATATCACGTATAAATACATTTGCGTAGTCTTCTGGATTTATATATTTTCTTAAAATAATAAGAATGGCTGACAAGCAGATGGAACACCTAATAGTAAACGGTAACATTACGGGCATCACGTTATCATGTGATACCCACGTCAATCCAGATAAATAGAGGCATGACGCCTCTAATCCTGCAATTTCTCTAATTGGGTAGTGAAATAATATCCTAACACGGCTTACAAAGCCAACTACTTGATAACTGAAATAGACGAAACTGAGGTACCCATGAAGACGACTTTTTACAGTCTACCTGTAGTAAAATGTTATCGTATCTTTAAAATATTGTCAGAATTTTTCAAATCAGTGCTATTTTCAGTTCAGGAGATAAATTTCATTATAATAAAATACCTACATATTTTAATACATTACCTACGACCTATTTTATTACATTTTTTAAGCGAGGGAATAATTTGAATATAAAAATACATATTTAATGAATATATTAATTTATTTATATTTGCATACATATACATATGTGTTGTAGTGCAATATTTTAATACATCGAGATATATTGGCCGTGTGTCTAATTCTTAATAGAATTTGTAAGTACATAGAATACAGATTCTTTAAAGAAACGATAAATAAAACATTATATTAATATCATACTTAATTTTACTAAGTTGTAATAAATATGTTTAGCTTACAAAATGTAGAAATTTACTGATTAAAAGTAGAACACAACGTATTAAACTTAGATGATAGTTTACATATTAAAGTGTTTTAGGAATGTTGGTTAACAAATTATAATAGATAAGGTTGTAACAAATATGTTTAGCTTAAAAAAGGTAGAAATTTTCTGATTACAAGTTGAATAACACAATGTATTAAACATAGATGATATTTTAGGTACATATTAAAGTATTTTAGTAATATTTGTTAACAATTATAATAGATAAGTGGACAATATACTTGTAATGCTTTTATGATGCAATCAAACAATTTTATTCAGACTTAATGGGATCAACAAACGGAAATTCATCTTCCATGTCATGCTTGCTACCATCGCCGGTTCTCATCTTTCGTTTTGCAACAACTTCTGGAGATACTGTTTTCAGGTCATAAGCCAAGCCAAGCTTAGCCATCGTGTCAATGAACAACTTAGTAAAATTAAAGGGACTACCTAATTCGGATGTTTTATAATCCCATGGGAACGTATGGTGATAGTTATGGTAGCCTTCTCCGAATACTAGCAGTGATACAGGCTTTATTTCAGCTGGGTTAATATTCTTGTCATATGGTCTGTTACCCCACTTGTGTGCTGCTGAGTTTATTAGCCATGTAAGATGCATCCCGAAAATAAATCTGAAGATACCGCAGACAAAGAAAGCGTTCCAAGCAGACTCGCCCCAGAGTGTCGGTATGTATGTAGGAAGAATGAAGCAGGTCATGAGCATAATCTTCATGTAGTGCCTGCAACAAATATATTATTACAAAAATATATATTGGTTGAGTTTGTGAAAAGTCGTTTGGGTGGGTGCAGTCTCAGTTATGTCGGCCAATAAGCAGCTTGTTTTGTAAGCTATTTCGGTGGTAGGGTGAGAAAAAGCAGTAAAATTACAATGTGAGAAAAATAGTAAAATTACAGGATAAGAGGCGTGACATCTAAGTTCTAAAGTGATAAAATTATAAAACATGAGCGGTATCATATTCGACAATGATGACGTGAGGTCTTGTTCATGTATATAGGCGACGTGTACCTATCACTTACCATCAGTTTTGTAATACCATTGAAATCTCTCTCAGTTTAGACATTTCCATCGAAATGTAACCAGAGTAATACAAATGATCATACCCATGTATACAAATGTTTGTATACTGCGAGAACTTGAATCCGCGACCATCGGAAGTAAAGCGATGTGCTAAATCGCTGAACCACCTAGGCCGTACTAAAATGATGTACTGTGTAAACATACTTGTTTTGGAAACGAAGTACAGGATCGGCATATAAGTCACTGAGATCTATAGTACGTCCTTTAGCTATGACTTCCGGATGCTTGCGGACCAGGAGCCATCCAACATGCGAGAAGAAGAACCCTCGAGTGGCGTTGTGAGGGTCAGCATCGGTCTCTGAGTACTTGTGGTGAACTCGGTGGTCACGTGCCCATTTGAGCACGGGGTACTATAATTATATATATTATAAAAACATCTTTTTTATCTTTATTATACAAATCTTTTTAAATATAATAAAATTGTAAACATATGTCGAATCTAACACTGTCTGTTTATTTAATTATTCACGTAAAAATGGCTAGAGGTGAAATTGAACGATAAAATTTTTATTAAATATATAACATATTGTCCAATGTAAGCTTAGAGATAGGAGTATATTAATTTTGTACATATTTTTAATAGTTTACCTACTATTTTATTATTGAATTAATAGATGGCCTCTGTAAGTATAAACAGAATTATAATACTATATATAATGTTAAATATAGCTGGAATTTTACTAAGTAACTTCTAGAGGAAACTAGACACAATTTCAGCAATTTAGTCAAGTTTTGGCTGTATCTAAATGTATGGGTCTTAAATAATTACGAGATACAATTGGAACTCTGCATAACTTTGGGTACCAATTATTAGTTATGTATTTAACGGAAACTCAAAATTATGTTTGAAAGCAGAACACGTGCTAATATTTTAACAATATTGTTAGTATCGAGTGAGATTGGGTCTAGAAATTTGGAATCAAGGAATTAGTTTGAATCTATTATAGATAGCATAGCATTATTACATAACGTTGAGATTAAAAGTCTATATTTGTGCTCGTAATAAAATAGTAGAACCTTAGTAGAAATGTAATTGTACTATGAAAAGATTACGATACAGCTAATAATATTATAGAAGCAGAAATAAAGAAAAATCATCGAACCTGGAATGCGATAGTATTGAATAAAGCGAGAGCAACCCGTAAAGGAAAACGAGCTTTGTATGATCTGTGGGACCAGAGTCTATGTACGCCAGCTGTAATTCCCAAACCGGAAAGTAGATACAGAATATAGGCTGTAAGTAAAAGAAAAACAAAATTAGTATCAATTAATAATTGTCATTCATAAAAGAATGAATGTATCTTTATAATGAGTCCTTTATGTAGGAGCTGATAAAGTGTTTTTATCCAAGCTCCTATTGCTTAGAATATATTATCTCTTATTAAATCATTTTCACTTTCTTAATAAATATATCTTTTAAATTGTAGAGCAAAGAATCTATTTAGTTCTACTTGAATTTTATAATAATAAGAACTCAATTTAACATCATTTCTTTTTTTATCTCAGTACATGATTATAATACATATATTGTTCCATAATAATTAAATATTGTGCAAGAAAATATATTGTCATGTACAAGTATTATTAATCAAATTGTTCTGCTTCATAGTAATAATACAACGAACGGTACAATATATATATATATAATTCGAGATGGGGTACTCAGACGAATTATCGAATGTAGACGTTGAAATGACACTGTGTCTTGGATTAATTGGGATTTATTAAGTAACGAAAATCTGCCTAGAGGTTAACTTAGATTTTAATAAAAAAAATAGTGTAACCCTAAAAGAAAAAATCGAATTGGGGTAGTTTTACTTGATAGATGGTTGAAACTTAATATCCGTTAATAATTTAGGTAGATATCGTAATCTTACCTAAAACCCTGGTCCACATGTAGACGTGTCCTATAAAAAGATAAGCACCGTAGACAGCACCAATATGTGCTGCGACAATTATGATTATGTTAGGCCACACTATGTCCATTTTTCTGTCATTCGCTGACGGAGCGACTGTGTTTTCAATGTTTTCAACATAGTCATTCTCGAACAGCACATAAGGTCTTTTTATTACTCCTCGTGGTGCCATTTTTCTGTAAAAATAATATTTATATATATCTCAAAACTAGAAATGAGTATATAATATATGGATAAAGATATTTTACACTAACTGTTTATTTCATTATGTATATATATATCTAGGATTGAATTAATCAAATTAAATCATTTATTCAGTTAGGACAATTAAGCCGCTTATGAACGTCAAATTTTTTTATTATGATAATTTTATAGTCAGTTTTTTTTATATTGTGTACTGGATGTCGATGTCTAATATAAAGTGAAAATCCTGTGCATGAACTATTCTTGCCATGCACATTTGTCATTCAAGTAATCGATTCGTATTGTAATACAGATGTTTTGAATTTATTTAAAGGTAGTTCCTGTAATATATTACATTAACTAGTAAGTATAATTTAAGTGAATTTTAAGTTGTACATTAAAACTTAAAACTATTTTACTCACATAACTGAATAACGGGAAACCCTTTCAAGTTATTTGATGAATGCAAAAATCTTGCTTATCAATGGCACCTTGATCTTAAGAGAGAGCTCAGGTATTTATCGGCAGTGATGCACGATTATAATACCTAGTAAAGACTGGCGATAGCAATTTTCTCAAGCTCTTATATATCACTGAATTGCTTACATTAGACGACAGGGAAAACAATTAATGACGTGGTCAAATTGTCTGTATAGGTTAAAAGGTTATAATCGGATAGGTTAAAAGGTAATACATACATCCATGCCTGTTCAGACACGTGATATTTTATTATTAGATTTAGAATAATGCCATTGTTACATTAAGTTACATTACACTAAATAATTTATAATAATTTACATACTTACTTTTTTCAATGTATGTACATTCAAAATATTTGTTTCATCATTTTTTATTATAATCCCATATATGAAAATTAAATGACGTTTGGTGGTTTCGTTAAAACTAAAGAACGGCTGGACCGATTGCGGAAGCCCAAGGGAGGGAAAAGGTAAGAAAATATAAAGAAAGCAAAATAGTAAAAACGTGTAGGTATAATAGAATAATATAATTATAATAATAATTCTATTTCCGAATACCTTTCGACTATATACAACATTATTAGATTTTTTTTATAACATAGGGAACAAACGAGCTTGCTGCTCACCTGATGGTAAGTGATTACCGCCGCCCATGAGCACCCGTAAACCAGGGGAATTGCAAGTACGTTGTCGGCCATTTAAAAAGGAATAAGTTCTTTTCTTGAAGGTTTCAATAACGTATCGGCTCGGAAATACCATTCCTAGATGTACTAATTTCTAAGGATATATGCATTTACTTAATTGCAACCTTAAACTACATTTTATATTTAAGTATGACTATCGATTGTTTTACCATAAAACAAATTAAGCAAGCTTGCTATTAGATGGCGCTGTGTGAATTGTCTTTAATTATTATTATTTCTTTATTTATAGTCTGCTTCCTGCGCACTTGTCAGATCTTATTTTCGCACCATGTTTTCTACATGATTTGAAAACACTGACCCGATACGTAGCGCATTAAATTATACTAAAAAATCATTCTAATCTATCTATTCTATTCTAAGTACGGTTTCAACGTAACGTGCGTAAGTTTGTGACAATATAATCAATAATAATACAATAAAGCTAATAGAGTTCGTTACAACGCCAAATGAATTTTAAAAAACTTATCATATTCAATAGCCTTATTCTTGAACAAACCTGCCAAAAAAAGGAACGCTAAGCGGAAACGAAGTAATAAATAGCTCGGGTGGGCAATGTAATTCGATGGGTCATGGCACAGAACCGACTTCTTTGTTCATAGATCGGGGGTCGAGGGTGTTCGCCATTCAGTTTTAATTAAGGGATGAGTGAAACCGCGGTACTGGTAGTATTTTACAGCACTGCGGTCACAAAGAAGCGCGTAGCGTTTGACCTGTTATCTGGCTTTTAAAAATGTTAGAGTAAATAGACCTGTTTTATCTGGCGGTCATTATTTATACGTATAATTTAAAAAAATACCACGTTTTATATTTATTTGCTGAGTAAATAGTTACCCGTGATATATATCCCGTGATTTTTACTAATTATACATATAAATAGTTATGTATATAGTAATATAGATAGAGGCATATCATATATGCCTGATTATCTATTAATACGTCTTCATTTTCTATTTTACGCATTAAATATGAAAGCAATCAACCATTAAATTGTTGATCCTTGACACGGACATTGATTAATAATCATACTCTCTTTAATATGTACTATCTGTATGTATTATTAATTAATTGATCAATTATATATTAATTATCCTATTAATTTATTGTTATTGAAAAGCAATGTTTACTTAAACTATGAATTATACGTTCAAATTGTAATTTACGACACGTTTTTGTATTTAGATGACGTTATTGTCATACATTACAGCAAATAGACAAGACGCAACATAAAAGATCGTTTTTGTTTTTTACAGATGATAATAGAATGGTGCACCCGTATGACGATGGCTGACAAGTGGAATATTTTAGGATGAAATTGAAGTTAGGTCCGTTACCTTATCGTGTCACCATGAAATTTCTAGGGGGTCTGTGTAGACGTCAACCTGGTAACTGCTAACAACTCCCTCCAACGCTAACAACTAAATAAGGGTGTCCACTCGTCGGAGAGTCTATCTATCTACAAAAATATTTAGAAAATAGTCTTTAATGCTAACTTATTAAAGTAGATTTCATAATTGTAAGGCAAATTATTAACCGTCATGTATGTTTTTATGTAGCCAGTGTCGTCGGGCCTATATACGAGTACATATTGTACCTAAATTAGCAGTCGTTTGACAAGAAATATTTTTAAAATATAGGAATTAAGCATTTCATAGTGAAGAAATATTTATTTCGTTCAAATATTGAAAAAATATATATTTTGCGCTGTGCTATATTAACGCCGTGATGTACAAGTACAAAGTTTATATAAATTTTGCAAGTGTTATAGAAACCAGCCAATATCGCATCTAAATTCCATTGTCAAAACTGTTTTATTGTATTTATAAAATATATAATTATATATTGGGAATACGGATAAAAGTAGTCATAGATGAAACATACCATTAAATTGCAATTAAAAATGAGTTTAGCAAAGATTAATTGGAGCGAGACCGCGAGTTGGCCAAATCAGCGACGTTGCATGAATTTCTCCTTCTGTCATACAAACGTATTCGACTTAATTTTTCGGAATGAATAATCATCTTTATTAAGTTGATGAGACTTGTCTGAAACATACTGGAAGCTTCGTGAGAAATTATCATCCACGTTTTAATTACATTGTATTCATATCGGATATTCAAATTAAACTCATCAAGAATTGGTGAATATACTGTGCAAAATATATTTGAGGTACTTCCATATTAAATTAATTTTATTACTACCGAGGTGTTTTGTAATACAAAATTATAACTTATTACTTCTATAAAATTATTTATATCTTATATACCTATATAGATTTGTTACTTGATTTTTTGTAATCTTGAATACATTCGTACCAAATAAGAAATAAAAATGTGCCTTTAATAAAATATACGAAGTACCTATATTATTTACAATTTCTCAATAGATTTTACGACGAATTGTTGCTAAGTACAATAAGGTAGGCGTCATCTCAATCAATAAACATACCAAGAAGCTTATTTGGAAAAATATCTTTGGTTCTTACGTTATATTCAAGATACCCACAAACAATATAAACCACAGAAAATATAAAACAAATTTCATGGTTACTATTACCAGAGATAACATAACATTACATACTATTACGAAATACACGAGTAACAGAGAAACCATTAGAGCTAATTCGATATTTAATTAATTCTTGGAGTTAATTAGGTTGTTTAATGTTTAGGGATTTAAATATTAGACTGGCGGAGGCGATAGATAAATGATGGATGTGACAGGAAAATCTCGAAAGTTGTGAAGTAATCTATCTTGGTAATAAGAATGTCAGGCTACGAAACTAAAGACATATTTTGGAAGAGCTATTAAATTTGATCGTGGATAGACAAAAAGAGAGGTGAAACACAAACTGTGCAAAAGGAGCAAAAGCTCCCTCCAATCAATCCGTCCCGGCCAATTCATACGGAGATCGAAATTACGACGGCCTTAGCCCAAGTTTAAAGTTTAAGCTAATGGAGTAGGCCAGCTACTCCATTAGCCGTTCCGCGGATTTGAAGTGCCATCTGCACTCGCACTCTGTCGTCCAATGAAGCTGTAAAGGCCAGCTGCGGCCAACAATAAAAAAAGAGCACATATGTTTAACAAATAACAATATGACAGTTAGCAATCTATGAACATGGAAGACGTAATCCTTTTATGTTATAGAATTGAATTCTATAACATAAAAGGATTGTTTGCCCGATTTTTAAACTTTTCTATCATTTTATTTCGTACAAACTTCGCTTTGATAATTAATAGGTCGAAGTATTGAAATAAATACATCCTCTCAGAAGAGGTGCGCTTACATTCTGATATTGATTTTTATTTATATGCTTTATTGGCGCATTATGAAATTTATGCTCGAGGATTTCTTTATAGTCTATAATGATGACTTGTTATTGAAAATTCCATTTCTTTACATTGTTGCAAGCTTTGTTCCTCTTAAGCGAAGAAGTTTTGCATCTGGCACATTGTAATTTTAGAGATGTAAAGAAATACTTTGTCGACCAACATGTAATTATTTTACCACATGAACTAATACATATGATCTATTAAGTAATAGAGTTTTCTTATCTTTTCATTTAATTGAGTTCTATATGTATTATTAATCTGTAAATCTACTACAAACATGTGTATAGTAATTATGTTACGCCTCACTGTACACTATAAATAGAACATACATAAGGCAAAAGTAGGCTTCAGCTTGACAACAATTTGCAGATGTTGCCAAGCAGAAGAGGAAACTACTATACATATGGTTGTTGCCTACCCATGCATAAACGATACATCTCCTTTGGAAAGTATACACAATATCCTGTAGAGATAAAACTATCGTTAAAATATACATCAATTCTTGTAACTGATGGGTCCAGGTAGCGAACTTTGTTTTTTTACACCACGCAAGTGGCAAACAAGCATACGGCCCATCTGATAGTAAACTATTACCGTAGCCTATGGACGTTAGAAACACCAGGGGTGTCACTTATCCTTAATCCTTGATTCTTAAGAAACCTTATATATATATATATATATATATATATATATATATATATAGCGCGAACACAATATATATATAGTGTTATATATATATATAGCCCAAAAAACTCAATAAAAAAACACTATGTTATATTATATATAGGTATTTTCAATAAGATCTGTTACGTTCACTATAACTTCAATATTTACGATTTCACTCCATAAAATGTAACAAAACTTGAGTCAAAATATGATATTATATTAAATAAAACGAATTCAGATTGTTTTAGATATTGTATAATATATATTACATCGTTTTTTTGTTATTCTAGACATTAGAGAATTGTACCATACAGTATCCGTTATTAAATTCAATATAAAAAATGCCTTCATACTATTTCTATTTATTTAATGATGACTATATAAGCCCCATTATATATAAATTTGCTTACACTCCTGAGTCCGTCCATCTCATTGACGTAATTCTGGGTCTACTTGTTTTAGTCCGACCTTTGAAGAAATCCTGAAAGAAAGATACCAGATAATAAAAATTTTGATCTATTAATAATATTTATAAAAAATACCTTCATTACAGATTTGAATACATGAGTGACTAAACACGTGACACCCGTGGTATTCCAGGTGTACAAAGGCTACGGTAACAGTTTATCATCAGACGGCCACTATTCTTTCCCACCTATGTGCTCTAAAAAATCAATTTAAAAAAAAATTCTTCCACCAAAATCATATCTTTGACCGTATGAAATAGCGAGGACGAAACGCCTAATAACTGTTCCAACGACTTAAAAAACAGATTACCTATCAAGTAAGAGGCGTCCTCAACTGTCGGCTATGTGGTGACCGAAATAATTGATTTACCCATATTACATATATTTAAATCAAATTTGGATATGTGGTGGATGGGTGTTTAACATTACCAGAGAGTTAGTCAAAAACATAAATTGTCACATAAAGTTGTATGGTGTTTGTCAGATACCAAGTTATGCACTAGAGGATGTAAGTCGACCACTACCACCACGACTCTAAAGAGGTAACTAAATGACATAAGGATAGAGATACCATCAGGAAATTTTTAGTCTATATTTATTATCTCAATTAATAGTCATGAACCAAGAACTTTGTGTGGCGTGTACTTCGTATACACGACGATTTGAATCTCCCTACTTCAAAAGTTTTTCAATCACAGAGAAATATTAGAATTTTCGTTATATGGAAATATCAAAATATATTTGGGATTTATTCAATTGCGCTTAATCGGTTCATATAGGTTGCTGGAATTTGAATAAAATTTGGGAACATAGCTGATTACGTAACATTACCGCAATAGTTTCAATGCTGATTGGAATTCAAAGTAGTCAAAGCGAGAGCGTTGTAACCTATCGGTTTACTACCCGAGTCCGCATCTATGGGACGGTAGTCGAAATCTGATCTACATGATAATATCTAATTGGTAACTGGAACTGACAGAAGAATTGCCTATTCTTCCGTCACTTCGGAATGTAGTCGAGAAGAACTAACAAGAAACTCTGCCTTAACTTTTTTCAAATGAGATTATACATTATTATTTAATATTATGATTTACGTTAAATAATGCCTTTCAAAAAGTTCGTAGCAAATATTTAATACATAATCATTTTGAAATAAGACATACAACAGGCGTTAAAAATTAAATTAGCTCTTAGATTGATCATATAATTTGGAAAATAGGTTATAATTGTATTATTAGTCTATTTTTGTTTCACCATGTATGTATATTTAACGTCTAGGCATTTTGAGACGACAGTAAATTCATGAAGTTACAGCACCCACGTACTAACAATTCAATTCTGATAATTAAGTTTAACATTTAATTGTGCCAATTTGCTATCCAATAACCAGAGTAGATTATGTGTTCAGAATAACATTATTTATACTCTAGTTAAAAAAATATCGAATATTACAGCGGTCCGGAATTTATTTCTAAAAAAATCTGATCTCTCTTTATAGTATTGTTATACTTGTACTGGTTGATACAATGACGGATATGTAAACATTTTACGATAACGTCCATATTATAAAACGTTTTACTTTAACGTGAATTCGGTTCTAAAATTGTACTTACTTTGAATGCTTGTCTGAATTTCCTTGACATCAAACTGTACAGTATTGGGTTTATGACCGTCGAGACGTAGCCATTGTAACATAAATAATTCACTATTCTCCATATCTGCAAATATAACACAATGTTGTCTATACATATTTGATGACCTAGGTGGTCTAGCAGTTTAACACACCGCTTTACTACCTATGGGCGCGGGTGCGATTCCTTGCACGGCACAAATATTTTGTATTTATGATTATGATTGTTTGTGTCAGTTTGAATGTTTTCTGTGTACAATATGAATGTATTTATGAAAAAAGAAATATCTATGTATTTGTATCAGTTATCTAGTATGCATAAGGCAAGTTTTAGCTAGCTTTACTTGGGTCTAGATGGCGCTGTGTGAATTGTCCTGAGATTATTATTATACATAAAAAAAATTAAACATTGTCTGCACTTTGAGAAAATCTATAAAGAAATATTCGGTGAGTTTTTGAACGCAAAGCTGTAAAAACTTTTGATGACCTCGATCACCTGAATAGACACAATGTGTAAAAATAGTTATTTTGAAATATATTTGTAAGCAAAAGACTGTATATATATATTAGGCTGGTAAATGTAATTATCGAAAGACGGTTTCTAAGAAGAAATAATATAATTGTACATACCAAAAATAAATAAAAAACAGAAGAATAATTACGAGTATAATCAATATAACATTTTTTACATCAAATAATAGACAAAAAGTTCTGATTATAACGTTATTTTCCTTTGGTCTCTGTCTAAATAGTCTTGTAATAGACATTGTATTTATGTACTATAGAAAAAGCTAGTTTGTTAATTTAAGCAAACACAGTTTTTCTAAATATTTATCATCAAACAATCATTCTATCTGCAGTACAGTGTGTATCCACCTATCTCTTAAAAATATCAATGGAACATTGAAATAAAACAAATACTCAATCGCAAATAGCAAATTTATAGCATCTGGCTAGTTCACGACCTTGATACAGATCAATCTGTCTGTGTTCACGTAAGCAGCCAGTTAGCATTACGTAGGTAGGTATGTCGATATTTTCATGACTCTGAAATTTTATTATTTAGGTAACGTCTATGAAAACCTCCTAGTTTAATAGTAAATACTTCTATAAACGTTTCTCATATGTTCTACATACACACACACACATACATACATACACTGTAATATTCTTAATTCGTCAGAATTCTTTGTGACTGAGAAATAATGTACCTACACTATTCACTAAACTTAAAGCTAAACTAGAAAAATATAAGTATAAAGTAAAATAAAGTCGTAGAACTTACATCATAATAATCTTCATAACTAAACTTAGGATATATCATCATGAACCGTAGTAAGCAATATGGCGACCAGCAGAAGAAAAACGACGCGGCTACGGCGGCTGAAAGGACGGAACCAATAAATTTTACAAGTTCAAAAAGACACTGTTTATCCACATTTAGGACAAATAACTTCTTCACTGAATTATATACAGAATGGAAGAAAGCAGGATATAGAAGTAACGCCTACCTTAAATTAATTTTTCTTTTTTTATGTATATGGGATGTCAACGGTCAACCTATAGACTATATAATATGACCGTATTGATGTTTATGTATACGTATCATTACGGACATATTATGCAACAAATATTTTATAGTAATATTACGTCTGTAACTGGTATGAATTGAAACTTATGAGGTGAACTTCATGCACTGTCATTCATGCATGTAATTTCACTTTTATGCCTTAAACCGAAACAGATTACAAAGTATATAAAGCACGCTGCTGGCGACTGAAATAGGCGTGACTGCGATGCAGATAACTTTGTACAAAATGTACTTAGATACTATAGGTATAAGTATCTCAATACTTACACACATGATTTTTATTCGCACTTGAGATTCATTCAGAATATTAATATAAAAATACCATAAATAACTTTCAGCACCCAAGGTGACGACTTAATATCTAATTACATTTGTAGTTACTGAGAAAAATAACCTAATCATACATGTAGTTGAAATGCGAGAGATATTATTAATATGCATACGAACATAAAAATAAAACTGATAACGTAGTTTTATTAGGGTTCAGAGACAAGGCTATTATAAATACGGCCCTTGCTAATAAAGGCGTGGGTGCTTCCTAATTACCTATCTATCCATTTTGTTACATCATCAATTCAAATTATCCGGAATTATATATAATCTGTATTGTATGATATAATACAGCTCTATAAATATTTACTTTAACTTTAGAGACAGAATTAATACTTTATAAATAGTTTAAAACTACCCTATCAATAGATCCCTTTTATTAATACTTTGGAACTAGGAATCTTCCTATAAACGAAATATGGTATAAAGACAAATGTAGTATGGTATAAATACATATAGATTATAGATATAGCCATTTACTTAGTACAAGTTACAATTAATAACATACAAATATTGTGTCATGGTTAAATTCACAAAGCTTGTTAAAAATACGTGAAATTTATTTAGTTTTTAAGTAATTAATAAAAAACATTATGAACACACTCACCTAGCATTTTCACGGCCTTGTCTCTATTAAGATTTCCATTTACTGGACTATTCTTAAGTTTAAAGTGAGCTGATTTTAATTTGATCGCTATCAACACATACAACACAAAAAGGAATGTCATCGGCATCACAAAGAATACAAACAAATCCATTGCCATTAGATATCGTAGCGGACCCGGTAGTGTGACATTACAAAAAATGAACTTTTTCTTTTCTACCAGGTCTATGTAAAATATGTCTGGAATGCAGAAAGCTAAGGACACTACCCATATGACGGCAACAATTTTGTACACACGCGACTTTACCGACAAGGTTTGTCGGAGGAAAGGCTTCGATATCACTAAGTAGCGCTCCAAAGAAAAAGCTGAAATCGTGAGTACACTACAGTTGTTCAGCCAATCATAAAGAATGAAGTGTAGACGGCATCCTTCCTCGCCCAACGGGTAGACTTCTGGTATCCATATCAAATATATTTCCATAGGTACGAAGAAAGCCATGAGTAAGTCTGTTATAGCTAGATTGAACAGGTAGCAATTGGTGATAGTCCTCATGGTGCGATCTCGAGCGATGACAGCACATGTGCATATATTTCCTACGATACTTAAAATCATACACATCCCTAGGAACACACTTAGTGTCACCTTCACGGACAGTTTGTCATCCAAACCATTTTCTTCTGACAGCACCATACCCACTGGTCCAAAGAATGAGTATGATTTATTTGTATATTCATCTTCAATTTCCCAAGACATCTTGTTGGCCTAAAGACGAAAAATTCAATTCAATTGAACATTTAGTTTACATTTATAAATTTGTTTTTCAATTTTTAAAATGAAGTTGGATACAACATTTATTTAACGGATAGTAATAAGTCGTACTTTTGATATTACCACCTATCCTCGACTTGTGTTCGCTACGATTTTATTTTTATTTCGCAGAGTAGCTCTACTGGCTAACGCAGCGGAGTAACTGTTCTGTGGAAAAATTTCATACAGCCCTTCAAATTAACGTATGGGATGATTCCGTTTTATGTTTGAAATTGTATTCTTTGTTTTATTATATTTTATATTCAATTAATTCAAAACGGTTATTAATCAAGTGCTATGATGTAATTAGAAAGATAGTAACTACTCACTATTTAATTATTTTTATAGATATTACGAAGTTTGTGTTTCAAAAATAAAATTTGTTATGTTCGTTTGCAACAGTACTTTATACAGTCGCAATAAATAAAATACAATCAAAATGCAGGAAACATTAGTCAAAGTTATAGCGATGCCTTAAATATTTAATCTGTCTATAATTGCATTATTCAATTACCTAAGTAGGTAACTAAGTACATACAACAATATTTCTACTAGTTCTATCCGTCTTAATAGATAATAATGAAACAGGACAATTAATACAGCGCTATCAAGCTAAGTCGCCTATTCAGTGTTTTTTTTTTAAATGTAATATATATGATGAGCTTCGTGTTATCAGTTAAAATCAACATTATTATTAACAAGAAATATTAGGTTATATGTGAACTGTAAGTAAGAAAGTAAGATAAATACATTATATTTATTCATATGATGTCAAACTAAAACTACGATGTAAAGAAAATGTTTCGTTAGTTGTAATATATATATATATATATATATACCTACTTATAACTTACTTTTGTGGGGTGGATATTAAAGAAAACTAACATAAATAATTTTATTTATAAATTCATATAAGTATTTTATCATAGTTCAGTCAAATTATTCATACTTATTTATAGTTTGAAAAAATGAACTTATCGAATTTTTCATACACCCTGAAGATGGCAGTAATTGAATACGTATCCACACAAGCGCTGTCAATTTGGTGGCAACCATATATCTGTTTGTAGACGCTCATCCCTAATTGAAATTACTGTCTACTGTACACATATAGACTTATAACTTGCAAAAATAGGCCTCGAAGTGTTAAGCTCTTTCGGAGCATCCGTATTTTATATTTAAATTAAATTAAGAAAGTTCAAAACTCTCTCACTGATATCTAAACACGCTTACATGATTCACTTACAGTTTAAGGAAATTTTATTCAAATTCAGAAAGTTTCATTAAACAACACTGCTTTTCTCTGTAACAGTTTTCTTGAATAATTTTGAATGTAATATATTCTAAGATACAGTTATGATATCACTTGTAACCCGCTTCATCTTCGCCCGAGTGCTCATGTCTTTCATATATATTATAAATACTAATTCTACATGACTCTTGAATAATGTACTTTTGAAATAGAGAAAGATTTTCTTAAATCTTAATTTTTTCATAATAAAATCTGCTATTTTGTTATGAGAAAATTAAACTCAGAAAGTAAGTATCGATCTAAGAAAATCTTTCTCTAGAAAATTAAACTCCGAAAACTCTAAATATAATCTCCGCTTAAATGAGTAAGTATAGATATAGCAAAAATACACATGAAATGATATTGCTGAATGTTTTTATTGGTTAAGTGGAAAGGTCTAGTGAAAAGAAAATAATAACAGTCCCCAACCGACCTTAATCAAATTCTATATTCACACGCCGACATGGCGCAATGTTACGTGCTTACAATTGAGCGTCGTCGCACTACTGTAGTTTTATTTTTTTTATTATATCGTGCTGAAATTTCGTAGACATAGTAATGTAAGTGTATAATTTATATTATATACGTAAATGTCTATCTGTAATATACTACAAAATGAGAAAAATATGAAAAAAAATTCTCTTGCTAGATTCTGAGGAGTCTCCACAAAACATCCAGTAAACTGTTTCCATGGTAAAACGCAAGATATATTGACTTATCTACCTCGACTTACATCACATTTTTTCTCATATCTTCCAAAATCGTAAACATCGCACCAAAATTTTTTGCGTCTTATTTATAGAAAGTGGTACTACATATGTATTCATATAAAAATAGTATGTGGGTGGTAGTAATAATCTTCAACGAAAAAAATAAAAGTAAAAACTGGGTATGTCACTTATTAAGTATTTATTTCAAATCGTATAGTACATTAAATTAAATATACATCCGACACAAATATTGTGTTATAATATGACTTTGAAACATCACTTTGAAATTCATAGTTTTGCTCCCAATTCTTCAATGACCTTGAGTGAAAAAACAAAATATTACTGAATAGATTAACAATTAAAAGCAAGATATTAACGAAATTATGATATTAGTAAACCATTTTTCATATGGTGTTCTGATGGTATAATTGTCATACCTACGTCCGCATAGAGTATACGTTTTTTGTCAACTATACGTTTTTTGCAAATAGACTACAGAAATAAAATATGATGCGTCTATACCGTGTAATTTCAATGCAATACCCCCCGTATTGAATTGAAATTACATGCATTTCTATTTTAATAAAAGGTCATTTATCATACTACGTTTTTAGCAATTGGATATAATAATATTATAAAATAATATTTATTAAATTATTGTTAAACTATTCAAACAATTTATCATTTTAGTTAAAGAACTTAATTTAATAGAAGTTAAGCTGAGCCTGAATAAAGAATGTTTCTCTCAAGCACAACGCAACTCGAGGTACAAAATAAATAATATTTATACTTAAATGTTTATATTTCTCCGTACAAAGTACGTGTATGCGTAATATCATGAAGATTGATTGAGTAATACCGTTTAATGTTGGGCCATGGAATATGAGAGCAGTATCCCAGATTGCGTTACAGCTTTGGGCAGATTTAGCTCGTTAAGGCGCTAAGAGGTAACAAATACAAAAACTTACTTCTATATTTATTATAATTATACAAAATTACAACTGTGTTCTCTTACAGTGTATACGTGGTCTACTGTTTACTTCAATTTGTACAAAATCGTATTGACTAGTATTTAGTATATTCTGTCTCACATATTTGTGTGTCTCACATATCTTACAAAGCAAGCTATAGGCTTTAGGTTTTCATTGAATGGTGAGTTAAGGCAGTTAAGTTTCAGGGTACAGAGGCATATCATCTTAGTCCTTCGGAAATACTAGTGTTGCCAGACGACACATGATAACAAAATATCAGTGTTACTATTAACGTATGTATACGAGTGTTGCCATTGGCACGTATCTGCATAGCTTTTGGCATTGTTTTGTAGCATATTTAAGACAGTGATAACTTTTAAAGAAGATATGTAAAATTCAACTAACTATACAATATTACTCTCTAGCTATAAAAAATCCAATATAATATTTTCAGTGTATGTGTGTGTGGTAAAAATGAGACCTAAATCTCAGAACGAACAAAACTATACATTTCGTTTACAAATTTACTTTTGAGTTTCAAAATATACCTCAATATACGAGTACATATGCCATTACGTTAATTTTGTAAAAGCGAGTGAATGCGCAGAACCCTCCACTAATTATCAAGACTTCTTGAACGTTCTAAGAACTCATCACGTTTTAACCGGAATAAAAAATATTTATATTTCATCTTTATCGTTTACAAAAAGTTTCAAAATTACCTACGAGTACATATGCCATTACGTTAATTTTGTAAAAGCGAGTGAATGCGCAGTTTCAAGACAATTTAACCGGAAAAATATTTATATCCCAAATTTTTTTTAAATTACGCTTCAGATGTAAAATCAACTCTGACGGGTTATGATGATCAGTGACTGCACCATAAGTCTGTAGGATAGGATTAAATAGAAAACTCGATCCTAAAGTAGGATTTTATCATTTATGTCTTTTGTATTAATTTTATGAAGGTATTAGAGTATATGTATATTATTGTAGGACACATACAAATTAAAAGAGGTATATATTTATATATCTACCATTTTGACTATCTAACCATATTGTCTTTAGTACTACTGTCTATGTGATATATTGATTCTGGATCATTAACAATTACGTAGTTATGGAGTAATACATTCATAAGCAATCGTTAACATACATACTTCTATTCTACAAAGTGGACTAGTGACTCGTATTAAAATAGTTCTGGTCTTCACGGCTATATGTACATCCATGAATAGTAGTTACCAAATTCAACAAGTAGATCACTTGTTCATTTGACATTTACATTAGGAAAAATACCAAAAATTTTTTTTGTCATAACGGGTTTCTAATTATTCTATATTTAGAAAAGCCTTCCGGACAATAGCAAGCGGTCATCAGTTGAACTCCCTTTATAGAATGGCTTTTCTCGAATTCAGTCTAGCTAATATTTTTTTTTAATATTTAACCTTTAATTAAACAATAAAAAATATAAGCATTGCTCTTTTCATAGAAAGTCAAGTAGCATAACGTAATTAAACAGGAAAGTGTTAGAGACAAATTAATAGGGTTCAGTTGTCATACTTTTGTAATTTTTAATTATTCAAATAAAAAAAATTCACCCACTTGCCGTCGTTAGATAACAGTATCTTCAGCAAATTTGGGACATCGTTTTGACATACAGACTAAATTAGAAAAATAATTATCACACAAACTCTAAGAAAACATTGATTATAATACATTAAATTATTTATTTTACAATAAATTACGATATACATGCATTCGTCCATAAAGTTATAGTACCTAAAGTTTTACAGTTTTGCAGTTTTATCATTTATAACCATAAGTTATGAATACAAAAAGAAATAATATATTATTACAAGATTTTTTTACACACATATATATCCTATAAGGATTGCTCTATGTACCATACTTATATGCCTTATATTATGTTACCCATTTAGTTTTTGACTTCATTCCAGATCTACTGAAATTGAATAATAAATAATTTAAATAACATTTATTTATCCTGTACCAATAAATAATTTATTCACACGTGAGTTATAAAAAAGTTTATTTCTATTTTATTCAATTATCAATATATAACTATAACCTTATAAGAGACATTTGGATTAAAAAAATGAATCGTTGACATGATTTCAATATTAAATGTAATATAATTACAAACGAAGAAGAATAAATATCACGATGTTGCCATACAAATGTAATTTTCAGAATTGGAATCAGATCTACGGCTCTTAATGATTTTCAAAGAGGCCTTGATGACTTTAATTTGTGATGTCACAGTGGTTTCACTTATTTAAATAAAATTTAATATCATTTATCAAGTAATTTAATAAGACTATTTCATTCAGACTTCTCAGGGTTCACAATGTGCGTTTCATGTTTATCGTCAAGCGTGACATCTTTATCATTCCAACTCAATACTGAGTGACTTCCATCACCTGTTCTCATTATACGTTTCTGTATGACATGTGTAGGCACTGTCTTCAAGTCATAAGCCCATCCAATCTTCGCCATATTATCTATGAAACACTTAGTATAGTTTAATGAATAATTGCCTAATTCGGCAGTTTTGTAATCCCAGGGGAATACGTGGTGGTAGTTGTGGTAACCTTCACCAAGTGCCACAAAAGATACGGGCAAGGTGTCAGCCGGGTTTATATTCTTGTCATATGGTCTGCTGCCCCACAAGTGAGCGGCTGAGTTTACGAGCCACGTCATATTTAGTGAGTAAACGTATCTGAATATGGCAGGTACAAAGAAGGCGTTCCATACAGTTTCGCCCCATAAAGTAGGAATGTATGTTGGTATAATAAAACAGGCCAGCGGCATAAGAATTTTGTAGTATCTGAAATATGTAAAAATTGAAAACTATTACGTACATATGTGTTTTAAAAAACAAATTTAAGACACGCATTTATTTGAAGAGAGAATCATACAATCGAAACACAAATATTTGCTCCGTGCGAGATATCGAACCTGCGACCATCTGAAGTAGACCGATGTGTCAAAGCGGGCTACTGAGGCCGTCACTGAAATATTTCATATATTTCAGTGAAGACATCAGTGGCCCGGTCGTAATGCCGTTAATGAAAATTAAATGAAATCAAATTTTTCATTTATATTATTATGTATGTACTTAGAAAAAATAATGTATTTAAATATTTCTTTCAGTTGTTTAGTACGCGTAGCACTGTAGCACAAACTCCACTTTATTTCCTACTGATGACACTGAGTGAATTGTTCTGGCTTATTATTATTAAAAAAAAAGTTAAAATCTAATCAAAATTCTTATATTTTTTGCACACAAATCTCTTTATTGTGTTATTACACTTACTTTTTCTGAAAGCGAAGTACAGGATCGGCGTTTAAATCACTCATGTTGATAGTATGTCCTTTTGCTTTGATTTGTGGATGCTTACGGACCATCAGCCACCCAATATGTGAGAAAAAGAACCCTCGAGTGGCGTTGTGGGGATCAGCATCGGTCTCTGAGTACTTGTGGTGAAGTCGGTGATCGCGTGCCCAGTCGATAACAGAATCCTGTAATACAGCATTTGTAATACTATCAATTGACAGCCTCGATGGTCTAGCGATCTAGCAGACCGCTTTTTCGATTGATTTCGATGCGGGTTCGATTCTTCGCATGGTGTAAACATTAGTATTCATGAGTATGATTGTTTGTATCGGTCTGGGTGTTTTCTATGTATATGTATTTGTAAAAAATATATATCTAAGTATGTATATCAGTTGTCTAGTACCCAGAACACAATATCTGCTTAGCTTGGAACTGGATGGCGCTATGTTTCCGTAACTAGCTTTGTAGACTGTGTCTCAGTTGTAGGTTGACATCAGGCAGTAAAATTACAGGACATGAGGCAACATATTTAATTAATAATCCTTTTTGAAATTTTAGATTAAGAATAGAATTCCTTATTCTGGAGAAAGTTTATTCTAAAGGCTATTTATTTCAACATCACGCAGCGATCTTAGGAGCCGAGAAAAAGAAAAAAGTTTGACTGCTAAGAAATAATGAGAATACACCACGGGTGGGTCCTACAACTGTCTTTGTTATTTTACCAACATTAGATTTAAGAAAATTCTATACGGCTAGTATATCATATAGGCATAATTAATTAATATTATTCATTACACACATATAATTGAATACGGCTAGCATGTTAAAGTGCAAAGATAATGACTCGTTGTTGACTTGGGATGATGAATGGGATTGTTTTATTAAGTGAAGTGGTTTGAACCGGCTCTGCTGCAGTAGATAAAAACTATAACATATTCTTTATTATACTTAAGTACCTACGTAGTTGCATGGATAGCTCGGTCACGCCTATTTTAGCTGCCAAGTAGCTTATTTTTAGGTGATATATGGCAACGATAAATATAAGGTATGTAGTTATGACACATTTAAGATACCATGCCTGACATGATGATCTTCCAAAATCAAGATGACTATACCCAGATCGATACAAAGAACATAACACAACTCAGGAACACAAATGTCTGTATTGTACAAGGAATCGAACCCGCGAATCGAAAAAGTAATAAAAAAATAATAATAACCAACCTGAAACGCAATAGTGTTACAAATTGTGAGTAGAATACGTAAAGGCAAACGAGCTTTGTATGACTTGTGGGCCCACAATCTATGAGCACCAGCCGTTATGCCCAAACCCGAAAAGTTAATCAGAAAAACAGCTGTGAACACAATACATGATAAATTTAAATTACTATGAATAAAAAATATATGATGATATACTCATGAACTTTGTACAACATCGTTAGTGTGGGTACCTCTGTCTCAATTATTTTAGCATTTCAGGAATGTCCATGCATGACTAGACCCTCGGGCCTTATAATGTCGTAGTGCTGTGATTCAATATAGACAACGGTTACCACTTCTTATCTGGTGGACCGTCAGTTTGTTTGTTAATTCAGTCACATACTATTGTTACACCGATTGCACACAGCTGCACGTTATTTTTTGTTATATTGCCTGTACTCAGCAGCAGCATATGCAAATATAAATACGTATTTATATATTATTATTAAATACTTAGCTAATATTACTTACTTTTACCATATAAAATTACGTTGCAAAGCTGCATATGTACAATTATGGAGGAAGAGAGTTAGTGGGCTAATTGGTTATAATTCTTTTTATATAGTCTACCTAGACGCGGTTCCTCCGCGAAACCATCGTGGTTAATTCCTTTCAACACAATGGGCTAATTGGCCCGACCTCATCGTCACCATATCATCTTTCACTGGTTCCCAGTTTACATCAGCGTCACTTAGCGGAAGCGGGTGTAAAGTGTTATTACAATCTACTTAAAAATAACTAATTATGTATAATATTTCTTACTAAAGATGAATGTTAATAACTTGATTTGTCCAAAAAACAGATAGGCGCCATATACGCCCCCGGTATGTAGAAATATAAATATGATAACATTTCTCCACACTATATCCAATTTTCTGTCATCCGCTGATGGAGGAACTACGTCGTAAATATCCTCATTATCTTTCACTTCATTCTCATATAGTACCCAGGACTGTTTTTCTTGACCTTTTGGAGGCATTGTACTGTAAGAAATGAACATACAAATGAAGAAATGAAAATACAAATGACTTAATAAAATTTTGCAACCGATTTACAAAAGTAGGCTGTTAAATATGTTTTTTTTTTCATTTGTGTTACGTGATAACCTCCTCAAAAATAGTAAGACAAATGTATAGGAAAATGAAGACATAAGAATGGGTACAGGAAATTCCTCCATGTAATAATTTAATTTTTATTCTAAAGACACAGTATTTAAATATAGCATAACGTGAAATTGTACAGACGGCTTTTTCCGTTTCTCCGGAATAAATATAAATCAGTTGTAGGATTTCAGAATAAACTAACAAATATGTTAGAAGCTTGTAAGAAAAAATTAATACGTTGAAAATACATATAGGTACAATATAAAGAATACGTTTCATGTTACAAATAAAATACAATTGTGGGTATTTATGTAATTTAATATAGGTTTGAATGTCATTTAAATTGGACAATTTTCTAACATCACACAATAAACATCTGTAAACATTCTAGTCCAGCATTCTTTGATTGTGTGTGATTTTTTTGGGGAAAAAAATTGTGGTCCTTTTATTATTTAGGAATAAGAGTTAGTCTAATAATACCGCCCTATAAGTAAAAGTAATAGATTTACCTGAAAGATTTTTAGATATTTATTGACGTTTGTCGTTGTAATTTCGTTTCTCAATAGAAATCATAATTTTCGTACTTTTGCTGTTCTTTTTAACCCTCTTTACATATAACAGATGACATATATTTGGTCATACAAAAAAAAAGATTTATAAATTGATTATTTACAGAAATTTACACTATTATATTTTTATATTGATAATAACTAACCAATATAGGTAACCCAATTCAGCATAGGCTATGAATTGTACACGGTACATTATTTTACACGATGAATTTTCTTACTACGTACAATTCGGTCAAGTTATTTACTAATAATAATGGATATCCAAAATGTAATATATGTATATTCTTTATTCCATTTTTAAATACATAATCAAAATAAATATTAATAATATTGACTTATCTCTAAAAGAGATTGCTGTCAACGCAACAGCGTAACGTTGGAAGTCGGTATATGGGTCACAGAAGTGCAAATAATAATTATATCAAAAGACAAAAGTAAAGTAACTAATTAAGACTAAACCTAAAGTTTTAATATCAAAAACAGTATATAATTACATATAGATAAAATATAACAATTCACAATAAACAATAAACAAATGATTGAAATTCAATAAGAACTTTCAGATGATGTAGTTCAGTTATTATAATGTTCACAATAATATCAGAATCTTTCTGCAACTAACGGTTTTTTCTTAAAACTGATGTAATTGATAAAATGCGACCCGGTCAGTTAATGTGTTTAAATTATGCACTTCACAATTGGATGATTATCATATGATGTATTTATAAACATGCAAATATTTGTAACCTTAAAAATTTGACTGTACTCTTTTTACAAAAAACAAATATCGTACTTTAAGAGAGCAAAACTCATCTAATTATATGTACGAAAGTTAGGAAGTGAACAGAAAATTAAAGTTTCTAATTCTACATCTATTTATATTACTTTTATTTTTTTCTAGTTTTTTAACTCATCTATATATTAACAAAAGAGACTCTTGCCTTTTCCTCAGAATAAATCAGCAAAGACCTCTCGCAGTAACTGTTTATCGATATCCTCCGATTATTTCCCTATCCGAAAGAGTACAAAGCAGAGTACAAAATATAATGTAGATCTTAGACCTAGACCTGGTCAGAAACAAAACAATTTGGTTCGTAACAATAAAAATTGGAAAAACGCTAATATTATGTTTATGCCTTAGTATTTATTTCAACATACAATCAGTGCGTGAACGCTAATATAAAAAAATGTTTTAGAATAAGTGTGATCTTAAGATATTTATATACGATTCGATGTTTCTACATTACAAAGGAATAAGCATAGGCCAATATATAATCAAAAATGTTGATATATGTACCTAGATTTTACACACGGACATTTTTATTGCTTATGGCACCTAACGCATAGAATCTATATAGGTGAAGAAAGTCAATGACTTTTGTTTCTATTTCGATAATTGTATTCTCTAACTTCAATTTAGTAATTCTCAAACAATAATAATATATATCATCTAATTCTTCATAATTTATAAAAAAATAACTTACCGTAAAATATAAATCCGTTTTATTTCAATTTAAATGAAGGATACAATTCGTTTTTGTATTTGGTTGGTTAATAATTAAAAGAAAATATTATCACATGTGTTCCATTTTAAGAATTACAGACGACTAGGGAATCGGATATTCACTCACTTCAATATATACCTTTGTATGATTATCGTAGGTATAATATGCATAAAAATGGCCACGATTCAATTGTCTCATACTTATAATGAACAGAGGGTCTAGTAAAACAAATACTCTATTAGGTATTTGTGCATGTGCTTTAAACCACGTCTGGTTGATCCACTATTTGTAATCGAAATGGCAAATAACGGTCCAACTGACGGTCCACCCGATGGTAAGTGGTAACCCTCTCCTACATACATGAATAGTACAAAGAATATCATGTTATCACGTAAAAGCCTACGATACCGCTCATGCGTTGCTATTCTGGAGGATTAACATGCCATGCCTTCTATCCTTTCATCTACATCTTCAATCCAAACACAGCTTGCAAAGCAAGTTGTTTGGCGACTGAAATAACTAAGACTGAGGTACTCCACGCAGACGACATTTAAAAAATAAAGACTTGTAAAAAAATTATGAAGATTTTGGGTATAGTTCTTAAAGGATATAATCGATTTTTATAATAAGCATAATTAGTAACAATATAACAACAAGCGCTGAAGCTTGCACTGGCTACTCTCAATCAAATAGCCGAAAAAAAGTTGTGTATGGAATTCACACATAAACATATGAAAAGAGCATTAAAACAACGTAACTATTTCAACGACACCTTTAACATACAATTAATATCTACTAAGCGGTCACGGTCAATGTCAGCGTATTTATATAAATATCTACCATAGTCTTATACTATTTTAATTGCCTCGAATATAAATTTCTATTTCCGACTAACTTTCCCATGGACGGAACACCAATAACATGAACACTTAATCCAAGAGACGGTGGTATACTCATCCCCAGCAAAATGTACGTATTGTACATCAGACGCCCTCCGTGGTTCAGCGATTTAGTACACAGTTTTACTTCCGACAGTCCCGGGTACGTTTCATTGCACGGTGCAAACATTTGTATTCTTTGTACCGATATAGGTGTTTTGGATGTATATTTTGAATGTATTATATTTACAAGATTAAATGTATAAAGTATTTATATCAGTCGTTTACTATAAGACAAGCTCTGCTTAACTTGAGACTAGATGGCGCTGTGTGAATTGTCCTGGGTTATTCTTATGACTACGACTGTTGACAATGCCACTGACTACTCCGTCTTTCATGACGTAAAGACAATTAATTATGATTACTCAGACTATAGTTGTTATACATATGTTGATAATGGACAAAAGATTCTGGGTTACTCCATCTTATTATATTACTTGTTATTATATTAATAGAATGATTAAGTCATATCAATGAGGAGATACAATATCGCTATGATACTTTTTTTATAAAAACAAATTATAGTAATTACGCTTGTGGAACACAATGAACTCACACCTAATCCATTATGTCGGATAAAAAACAATAGATTTACGACATAATAGTTTGAGAATTATCTCTAAATATTAAAACTACAATACAACATCAATAATATCCTCATATTTCACAGCATCGTTATCTAGTAGCCTACTAATACTACTTAGAGTGGGAAAAAGAAAATTGTTAGTAAGGTGTACTGATTACCCCATTCTTTAAACCACCGATCAACCGACTACTGTAAACTTCTAGTGAATTTGTCACGATGGACTAACTGACCTAACCTCATGCTCATTCTATCATCCTCCAATGGTGCCCTGCCAGCATAAACCTTCGCGCAGTCAAATGCACCATTCCGTTATTATTCATTTAAAAGAATACTTAGACCACAAGATCTGGGAGTTCAAATATGGCCGACACCAAAAACTTCGAGTGTCCATTTTTACTTCTGATTGATTCTTCAGTTATAGAAACTAAAAATTTTCGTGACACGGTGGTAGGTATGGCTACTACGATTTGTAACTTTGCTATGAAGATATAACAATATTAAAACCATATATTTCATAATATAAATATCGTGGATAATTTAATAGCGAATATAGATAAAATGTACCATACGAGTATAATAATTATTCTAGATTAATTAAGTATCGTAATAACGTGAAAACATAAAAGTTTCATAATTTAACGTCCATGTACGAAGCACAAATAAGAATATACAACCTAATAAAATAATATACATATGAACATTGTGGTCTGTTGTAGATTATTATTCATGTTTTAGATTTTATATATTAAATATTATTATACAACACGCATTTGTAATGTACCTACACATTACAAATACGTGTTGTATAATCTTCATAAAAATGGGTCTGTGTGCCTGTCTGTTTGTTTATTACCTTTGCAGGACTAAAGGGTTAAGGGAATTCGACGAGATGATATATTGTATCTCGAGGACAGAATTATGCTACCTTTTATCTAATAAAAATTACTATGCTATGAAATCGCTGGCAGCAGCTAGTTTCTCAATAAAATAGAATTTTATACATGAAAGGAATAAGGTTTTATACAAACAAACCGCCCGCCGAATGGAAAATCAGAACTGTCATTAACAGACGTGAATAATGGAAAAATTATCCAGCGGTAGACTGCAAACACAGCTTCACTTCCGATGGTAGTCGGGTCAATTCCTCGCACGATACAAACTTTTGTTTTCATGAGTATGATTGTTTATATCGGTCTGGGTGAGTTATTATTTACACCACAATAACAGTGTAAATAAATACTCACCCATACCAGAAACAAGCATTTCTATATAAATTATGAATGTATTTACAAAAAAGTAAGTGTTTCTATCTGTTGTCGAGAACCTATAACACAAGTTTGGCTAATATTAATGATATACATTAGGGATCACTTTTGGTAATATATTATGATTATATTACCATTCCTGAGGACTAAGGTATGCATCTTTATTTAATAATTACTATATCATTTTACCTTATAAATGAGGGGATATAAAATGCTGGTTTAAAAAAATATGAAGATTTTTGCTTGACGCAGCAAATTGTGGAATTATAGAAGTATTCTACTTTTAATACCTCTTCTAAAATGTACCTTATAAATCAAGAAATAGAATAGTAGATATATACCTATATCGCCTATATATATATATATTATGTTTCGTACAGAAACCAGTAAAGTTTTTATTATCTAACTGAAACGGTAAACAAGTCTAAGCCTTATAAAACAAGCCGCATGGCGTCTGTAATTGCTGTACTCAAACATACGTAATGTTGTACAAAATTTGGTACGATAAATACTTCACTACATACAAATTAACAAGAACAAAGAGGTTTCGTTATATGCAAATTAATAACGTAATAATAAAACTAGGAGTTTGCCTACTTTTTGTAAACGTTTAAAAAACGTTGTTACTTTTATTTATTTACTTTGTGCCCTCGGGAAAAGAAAGTCTGAAACAGATAAGAAAATAAAATGTTACTTTTCTAAGGCTGACTAGTTTATGTAATGCGCTGTTTTGCACCGGCGACCTAGTACTCGTAAATACACTTCAGTTAGGTATACCGTCGTCCCCGAGGAGTGTGTTTATGAGGACAGCTTACATTGTAATCAGCAACTTGCTCAAACTGTACAGAAAGTCAGCATTTTGTGACTTGCATGAGTATCTATAGACTATGTTTAAATATTATCTGTCCAGTCGATGAAATTTTATTTAAAATGCTTTAAAAATGGAATACGTTGAATTATATTTTTTAATAACAAAATCTGGATGTGTTGCCGTTCCTTTATGAATTAGACTGGTCTACGAGTTAAACACAGAAATAATACATACTTATATTTTATTAAAATTTACTTTTCATTAATTCAAAGGTTGATTGGAAGGAATCAAGCTTATGGGATAAGTCGACCTTTGTATTAATTTATTTCTTAAGATCAATCCATCTAAGGCAACTAGCTGTTGCCCCGACTTTGTCTGCTCAAAATTTACAAATAAGATACCATCCAATCTTCATATCAAATTATAACGAATACTGCTACTTTTAGACTTTTTTTTATACTTTTCTTTACTTTTAATAAATATAATAAAAATAATAAATTAAGTACATAAAAAAACTGAATTTGTAATTGTTTGTTTGAAAAACAGATTTCAAATAATATAGTTAAAAGCTAAAAATAAGATTTTTATAACTATGTAATAGCACAAGAATTCAGACAAGAGTGTGTAAACATATCAATTGGACAAAATCGGCGAAGCCTTTTAAGCTTACATGTAATATAGCATATACCTACACATAATATACCTATCCATAAAACCTTCACTACGCCGGCAAAAGTAAGCAGGCGAATGTCATGTTCATAAGCTTCACACTACAATATAATATACGTTATGTTAGACCCTCAACCCTCATCTTGTAAATCCTTAATAAGTACATACATATCTTTGGACAACGGACTTGTGATCCTGTTGTATTTTGAACCAGTTGTTGCCCTCGAATTCATCGAATAGCTTTTATCTTTATTAATATTATAAAGAGGTAAAGTTTTTGAGTCAGAATGTTTACCTATTTATTGAGAAAGACTAGAGGCTATATGATTATGCTATAAACAAAAGGAGCGGAGCTGTAATGAGAAAATATTGCAAAAGCAAAGTAAATGGGACATAGTCAAAGACACGCGGATCGACTAGTTTAATTTATTTAAAAATCTGAACTATATTACAAATCAATACGAAAAATTGAAATTTATTTTGTATCTATATTTGAAATGTTCCAATTACTGTTGTGTATAAATAGATCGACGTCAATGCCATATTTTTTGTACCAAATCTTTTTTTTTTTGATTTATTTGAGCGACCAACAAGACACACTATGACGACCAACAAGACATATACTACGAGTTCAGGTATATAGTGTTGACTTAATTACTGGTTGCCACGGCATGCGATATTGTTTACAGAAGTTTATATATATATATGTATACAATTTTTTTTTTTATCATCTTGCGACAGATATTTCGACTAGATACCTACTTTTCAATTAAATGCATGTTCAATTACAGTAAATATTAAAATATAAACTGACATTGTAAATAGGGAAGTCTGTCTATTCTGTCACGACTAAATGGGCTGAACGGATTTTAATTTAATTTGACACATTTATCTTAGGTTGAGAATGAGGATGATTATGGACTATCTTTTATCTAACAATTGGCGCACATAGTCCTTGTAACAGCTAGTATTATAATTACGTTACACTAAGTAACACATAAAAATCAACTTCAAAGCTAATAAATGTTATATGGATTCTTAGACCCTGTTCATTACTAAACAAATAATCGTTCGATTGCGTCTTAGTCGGTTAATCGTTCAAAATTGAAGACAATCTCGAGATAAAAAAATACAGTCTAATTCACAACCTCCGTTTAAATTCGGTTGTAACCTGGCAACTACGCCTACATTCTGTAACAAGCTCGTACATATTAATTCCCGAGATCATTAGAATAATTATCATATTATGTACCAGAACAACAACTAAGTGACAAGGTACTTTATTGTTCCGCAAAATTGTCTTAGGTCCGTTTTGGTAGGGTATTCCATACTGACGTCCAAAAAAGCTTTCCGCGTTCTCTGTGATAATAGGCCCATATTAGTTTAATAATGGGATAAGCGTGACAAACAAACGTATGTCATTACTCTTTACTATTGTCATGTCATCTATTTTACGTATAAAAACTCCTTGAGATGGAACTGCATTGGTATATATTAAACGCTAAGTTACAGAGTAGCCAAACAGAGAACGGAGATCATTAAAAATGGTATGTAGTTATGCAGTCTTTTTTATTATTTAATATGTAATATTACTCGTACTAATATAATCGCGAAAGCTTGTGAGTATGGAGGGTTGGATGGATGGATAACTACTAAATGGATTTTGATAAAACTTTACAGTAATATAAACTAACTTTCAGTAAAGTTTAATCAAAATCTATACTTCAGAATAATATATATTCTGTAGTTTAAAAAGATGTTATGTAAATTGGGCAAAATATGTTATTATATAATTTAGTCCGAAAATTTTAATCCGATGCAAGTATAACAGTTTTCTTATAACAAAATCCGCTGTATCTTCATACAGTCAGTTAAAATTTTTCGGCAATTCACTATTTATTCTATTCTTATAAATACTATTTAGTTATATGTTACATTTAAATTAAAACAACAGTTTATGTATTGCTATCCTCAATTTATGTATTAGAAATCGTAGTTCCTTCATAAAAATATTTTTTTGCAGACGATATCTAGACAGTAAACAATTGGGCAGTTTTTATTAGACTGTCACGAAAACACGCATTTTTGGATTCTGTGTTTACTAGTTCTGTTAACAATGATTATAGAAAAAAGTAACATAAATCGTGATGAGAGTGATGAATATATGGGTTATGTAAAATTAGTATAATATAACCATAATTACTTAGTTGAAAATAAATATTTAAATAATGTTAAACATTTTATAAACAGCTGCGGTACCTGCTACTCGTTATGACCTGCCTGGTCAGCGCAGGAGTCTTTGCCAGTAGACAAGTTCGTTCTCCAGGTAATCTAATTGAAATTTTGACAAATAACCCTTTATAAATAGCAACGAGTGACACAAGCAACACAGTGATGCTCGCACTTGTTCAGTTTTATAACTACGGTTACTAAGTTATAAATTAAAATAAATGCCAAAAAGGATTTGTTACTCTTTTGGCTACTATTTCTGTGAAGAACAGATAAAGTTAGCAAAGGTACAAAGTTATAGGTAAAGAAAAAAAAACTAATTTAGTACATTGTTTTCCACTTATAAACAATATATTTTTAATCATATTCACACTACACATAGCATGGTTAAAGTAGGTAGCTAATAGAGTTCAGGAGGTACCCATACAAGTACACACTGCATATCATAATATAATCAGAGAAATGCATAAATTGAAGTATATTTCTAGTATTGAAAAGTAGCCTTACGCTATACAACAAGTGAGAGATTCCGTTTCCACGAGGATGCAAACGCTTTTTACACCCCTCACAATCATACAAATATCCGAGAGCCCTTCGGCAGTCGTCCTAAAATAAAATAATATCGTAACATATTTACGAGATGTAACGGAAATTGGTGGGTATATATTTTAATAATAGAAAAGGGAAGAATTTTCTGTAAGAAACAAGCTCAAATATGAAAATATATTTTTAACATCTTAATCGATTTCGTATCGAGTATCTCATATGAAGAATTTATTTAAAGATTTCAAATTATGGTATTCATTGGAAGACATTTTTTTTCAAGTTATACTGTTTAATTTCAAATTGTCAATTGACTAAAGTGTATTTTGACAAAAATTAATAGAAAAAACATAGTTACTAATTACACAGTTACCAATTCATAACCAACTAAGATATGACCAAACAAGATATTTTGATCCGTTAAGATGTGGAGATGAACAATTATCTTATATTATGTCTTGTTGGTTAAATATTTATATCGACGAAGTCCAGAGTTTACAATTAGGGATCAAGATAATGCTTGTATTGTCTTAAGAAATTCATATTAACCTTCTGTCGTAGATAATTAATTTTATCAAAGACAATTATAACAAAAGCGTAAAACATTACAAAAAACATCTGATAAGAATGATACAAGCATTCAGTATAGGTGTATGATTGGTGGTCACAATAATATTGCAAGTTCTTCTAAATCGATTGCAGTATAATTACCATTAGTAAATGGCTATTCAAATTATTTGATGCGAGGTGGTTATCGCATACATGCATGAACAGCACTGAACACCATTGTATTGTTCTCGATGCCATTTTGAAAATTAAGGTAGTATGCCTCCGTACTCAAATTTTGTAATACACACTACAGACCTAAAGAAAGCGTCCAATGCAGATAGCATTGTACGCTTCTTAAAGATAAATATAGGCAAGGTAGAGGTCCGCTTCTTCTTTATTATAAATTCTCCTAGTAGAGAATTTCAATTATTTTTCTATTTATTGATCTCAGTTTGTTATTGTGTATTAAAATGAAATACAGTTAGTTTACATTTTAAACGTAATCCTGCGATAATGTAAAATTCTTTAGCTTTACATTACGTCAGGACTACGGTTTTCATTTGCGAAAGTAAACACTGTCTTTCATACTCAGAACAACTAATCCATCGATTTACCTGATGACGTAGAAAATTATACTTTTGTTTTGAAGCAATAAACGTAGTAGGGAGAGTAAGTATATTCCAAAATAAAAGTATGCATAAATAAAGGTGGAATTATGTGTAATAGGTGTGCCCGTTTTTTGAAGACAATAAAAATCTAACTTCAATAATAAAACACTAACAACTGAGAGATCTATCTTTAGAATTGAAAATTAACCGTTTCGTTTCTAATTTTTTATAGGAGGTAGTGGCTGGCAAGGAAGCAGTAATTTCGGCGGCCTACCGTCCGTTGGGGTAGCACGTTCATCTTTAGATGGCTGGGCCGGCTCTGGGTCTAGCTTTGGCCGTTCAGCTGGCCATGGGAGCTCAGGATGGCGTGGAGCAAGTGGAAGAAGCGGTGGGGGATATTCTGGGAATAACGGATGGGCCTCAAATGGATTCAGTTCAAGAAATGCGTATGACGGCAATGGTTATAATTCAGGATATGATGATGGAGGTTATGGGGGCAGCAGCGCTTTTTCAAGTGATGGTTGGGGGGGTTCCGGAGGTTATAATTCAGGTTTTAGGTCATCCAATAGTTGGGGTGGTTCAGGCTCAAATTTTCGCTCCAATAGCGGATGGCAGTCATCGGGATGGTAAAATATCTATTCTTAACCTTTTCATTAATTTCATATGTATTTTTTTCAATTGTATAAAGATATTTGCTTTGGCTTGTAATGTGTAAGATGTATAAAACGTATTATTTGCTTGTTTTCAATTTACAATGTTAGTTCGTGAGATTCGTTGCAGGTGCACTTTAATTGAAGTTTGTTTTTGTATGACGTTATTCTGTACATTGAAAGGGTGTTGTTAGAATGCTGCAGTACTGTAAAATTAAAGCGAATTATAAAAACAATGTAGCAGTAAAATAAGTAAATTTTGTTCAATTATAATATTTTTAACATTAAAATAAATTTATTTGTAATATTGTGTATTTCTGTTCTATGCCAATTTATTATAATGTATGTACGATTAAAGTTACCGATTTATTTATATTTTTTATTTTATTCATCACAAGGAATCTTAAGAAGGAAGGTAGGTAGGTACAAAAGGTGGATATCTCATTAGTATTTCTTAATTAGCTATCTACAGGAAGAAAGTAGGAAGTATCTGTTATACACATATAACAGTGTATACAAGTAATGGGCTTATACATAGAGCACACATTACTGATAGGAATAGAAAAGGGAAAGACAGTTTTATCAATTTTAATTCCCACCTTCAAATACTCGTTGCATAGACTATTTACTTAGTTAACTAAATTATTATTTTAGTAGAGTATAATGGTGTCAACTTGTATATAATATTGAAAGAAAACTCACACACGTCACAAGAAAGCATTGATATCTATCTATAATACTGTGTAATACCTAGTTAACCTAATCAGAATTCTCACAATTTACTCAACTTTCTACCATTTAGTTAGCTAGTGTTAATTTTAATTGTTGTATTAATTTGCTCTGTTTCCTTTAATTACGTAATATCTACTTATGTATTATATGGCATGTACAAAAAAGCATTATTATATACTATTACTAGTGTAACTATATAAAAACCACATGGTAAAACTCTTTTAATACTACTCTACACTTCATTTATGTATACGACATATATCGCCTATACCTATATATATCGACATATAACACATCTTTTTATTCATATTTCAACTTCGAACTTCGTTTTCGCCCATTTTTATGACAGTAATTAAAATACGGTTCAGAATCCTTCGTTATTATAACGATTCAATCGTAAGTACAGAGCATAACATTTTAATATTCATATTACAAACTGTGATATCTCTGAATGTTGATGCTTAATAAATCTAATAGGCAGACAGATCGAATTCCAGCAATTAAAGTTCTAAATGGCCCTTCACTAATCTCTTCCAACTCGGATTAAAGCAAATTGACTGCGGGCCATACAAAATTGAACTTTGCTTTTGCGCTGCATTTTATCACAGCGATTTATGTATTTTAACCTCTATAAATTAACCGTATCGTGATAACTTTTTAGGTTAAAACTTATTGAATTAATTATTTTGTTTCTTTGCAGCCTCGGATCCTCCTCCTTATCTTCTACCCAACATTTTTACAATATTCATATTAACATACAATTTGTCAAATTAGTATTGCTGGTAATTATTGTGGTTTTTTCAACAGTTATATATTCATTTTTAAACAATTTACTTGACGTTCGTCTGTCTGTGGTCAAGTTGTTAAAGGTGCGTGAAAATTATGACTTATGTGTATTCATCTGCTTAGTTTATCTAATTTGCCGCCCGGAGCATGGACCTAGTGTTGCGGTCTAATCTCAGAATATAGGTCCAACCCCGTGACCATTGAAGCTTTAGGTGACTGTGGCCATCCATACCGTACTACTTAAAATTAATTCGCACATTTCTATAAAAAATACAGACCAACACCTATATATTTTTACTTTTAGTAATGTTCTAAAATTAAGTATATTAGGATTTGATTTATTGCATGAAGTATATGAAATTGAATGATGCAATTCTTATAGTCTTTGAGCGAGGAATACTATAATGATTTTCTATAGATGATGATAAATAATTAATGTACGTACTTGTCCCTACAGTAATAGTTTATAATACCTCAGCTTTGAAAGCGTTAACCCGTTTCCTCTTATTTTCCCTTTGAATTTCCGAAAATTATTTTCATGCAGATTAAGCATCTTCTAAAAGAAGGTAGGAAGAAACGGAATAGATATATAAACAGAATGATAGATACACAGACAGACTCACTTTCACATTTATAATATTCCTATTAAATTATTAATATTTTCAATCAAGTTACTTATCATGGATAGGTATATGTAAAAAAACGTTTACGTTGTGTTTTGATCGTGTTACTACAACATTAATTACATATGAGGAGAGTTATGAGGGTCGTATTTAGCTAGTTATTAGGTAGATACTTACCTCCTCTTTCGTACTACTTAATAGAAGCTCGCTTGAACTAAATATTGCATAGTTTTCTTCGCATTGTAGAAGTAAGTACTCAAATATGAGAACAACGGTAAGGAAAATAAAATATACCTACGTGTATTACAACTCCAACAAAAATTGTGACTTATTCCAATGTATTCAATTCAAAATACAATTAACCTTTTTTTTCTATAAATTCGTACATTTTCTACAGATTGTATTAGAAATTCAGAGACATGAAACATCTTGATTCAGCACAAAAATGTTAAACATGATTACTAGATTGTTATTTACGACTCTATTATATTACAATGTTTCTAAATTTCTGTATTCTAAGTATTTTCTTCTGCAGCTGTATTCAGTAGTAACAATGTTGTATATACAATATACATATGCATTTTGTATGTTGTATTTATAATATATGTACAACATTGTTGTAACTGAATACTGGAAGATATATACAAGCTGCTTTGATGTTAGAAATATGGGTGGAGTATGTATGTTTGCTGTGGAGAACAATAGATGTTCTTTTTTCTTAATGGAATAGCAAACATCTGGTTAGTAAGCTGTAACCGTTGCCTTAATACATAAACTGCAAAAGTGATACGTACTAAGATGTCTTACTACTACTTATTCTGTAGGTATAGATAGGTCCCCTGTATACTGTCCCTGTATACATAGGTTTATTTTATATCTTTTGTTTCTACAGAAGCGAGGACGAAAAATCATGTCTACGTCAAATACTCCTAACATAGTCGAAATGTTCAGTTGGGCTATTCGACGCACTGGCTTACAATCGAGTTCGACTAACAATAACGTTCACTACTTGGCAAACTTAGCCACGATATGCTTCGTAACAACATTTATCTTACAACTTATAGAACTTTACTTTGCAAAAGAAAATATCAAAAGACTCTTCGAATGCTTCAGTGTTTTATCTTTCTGTGGGATGGGACTTCTTAAATTAATGTCTCTCCGATGCAAATACCGCCATTGGCAATATATTTTTAATCAAGTTCAAATGTTAGAGAATAAGCAAATATCAAGAAATATAATCGGAGATAATGAATTTGATTTAATTTATTATATACGCAGTTACACCACTAAATATAGTACCATGTCCACAATATTGATCAGACTATACGGATCTACACTTATCATACATATTTTATCGCCGATCGTTGAGTATATATACATAAAAGTTAAAGGTTGTGAGTCTGTGTATCCGCATATCCTACCCGGATGGGCACCATTTGATGGTAATATATTTGGTTACATAGCAACAGTTGCTATTGAAATAGCATCATCTATCTACTGTGTCTGCGTACACGTTGCTTTTGATTTATCCTCTGTTGGTTTAATGATATTTCTTTGTGGTCAGTATAGATTGATACGTGATTATAGTGAAAACATTGGAAAAAATGGTAATGATTGTTGTATTACGAAAGAAAATGATGAAAATGCTCTATTATCTATCAGATATTGTCATCAAACGCATAACATACTTATCAAGTAAGTTTTAATTCATTCATATATCTAACTATAAATATTACATAAAAATAATTATATAAATTTTATGTATATACATAACTATTTGCTTCTCAGTATAATCGGTGATTTGAGTAAGTTGCTGAAGGATATATTGGGAATATATTTCTTCGTGGCAACTCTCACGCTATGTTCCGTGGCAGTAAGACTCAACATGGTAAGAATAAAAAAATACACTTACGGGTCCAATAATAAACTAGGAAAAGTATGTCCTCTAAACGGTTTTTGTATCAACTAGTTACAGAAACAAAGAACTTACAAATTTTTTTATATAAATAATGACTAATATTCTTTAATCACTTTGTAATTTTTTAGTAAGTATATTTTATATGTATCTCACTAGTCTATGAATGGACAGTCGTAACTATGCAACAAAGTTGAAATTAGTATCTATATCTATACAAAAATATTGATAGGTAACTTCCACTTATTAGACACTTGTCTACGTACGTATGGTACTCATAAAAAAAAGAAATCATAAATCCTGGGGTTACCCGGATAAAATTACTGTAAATACTAATTAAATAATTTGTATGATGTACAGTGACGTGTGCCATATTATGTGAAAGGTTTGACTAAAGGATTGTTCATTTTGTTGCAGGAAACACTGAGCTTAACTCAACTGATATCATTGCTTCAGTATCTGTCCGCAACAGTTACACAGTTGTTCCTCTTCTGCCTATATGGGAATGCTGTACTAAATGAGGTTTGATTATAGTACCTAGTATAATGAAGATCAGAAACAAATTACATACTTACGTAGATCAATAAAGACGACGAATATGATTAGAGCTGTGACTTCTATGCTTATGGATTGGTTGCTTTTTCATTCACAAAATGATCATAACAAATGAAACTCTCAAACCTTGAAGAACATTAAAATAGAAAAAGCGTAAAGACAATCAGCGAACTCTTTGATAGGTTTTTATACTATTTTTAAATTTTATAATAATATTCTTTGACATATTATTTATTGTTCACTTTCTATTATATATCGCTGTCATACTAGTCGCATTTTATTTTATCTCCGTATTTTATATTACCCTCAGCACCTCTCACTCATCAGACACACTTGATACCTCCGCTTCAAGTAGGTAGATAGGTGCCTATAGATTTTTCGCATTGTTAAATATAAAAATTACAGCCCGATTAGGATCTTCTTAATTCTATATGCAATCAAGTGGAAGCCAAATAATATACCTTGGTTACAATATAAAAAAAAATATAATTAGACGCAGCTACCAACGCAGCCTACTTTGTAGAATAGATATCTACTTCGATAAAATAAAGTAAAAATGAACCTCAACAAATTATTCACCCATATCTAGATCCGTATAAAGTACCAATACCTGATAAAGTATATAAACATTTAAATGCATTTTATATAACAAAAACATAGACAAAAAAAAGTCGCCACAAATAAAGGACAGATATTACTTTACCATATAAAAAAATACCTAGTATGTACCTATATCTACTTTTAATGTGTACTTTAGAGTTCTGTTGGTATGGGCGAGGGACCGAATGGAGCTGCGTACTGGTGCCTGAGTCCAAGAGTTCGCCGTGAGCTAACAACGCTGGCAGTCGGCATGTCTCGTCCACACCACCTAAGCGCAGGGCCTTTCCATGCACTTAACTTACCATCTTTCATTCAGGTAATTAATTAGGCAAAATTTTACATTAACCACTCTTTATATATGACTGGAATGGTAAACAAGCTCATATTATGTTAGTAAGTGGACGTCTACTATACATAGACGTCTTTGGACCTTTGCCTTAGTGTTGCTATTTAATACAAAATATATCATACTTTGTACTGTTTCATCATTCTTTATAATCTCACGTTTCGATCAAAACAGTTTACAAATCAAGTTGCTAGACGGCGGATATAAGTTACTACTTTCACTTAATATACCACTGAGCCGACAATTTTTTTTTATTTGCTTTTTTGGGTTATTTGGCCACAAAATGTAACGATGACAATCCCATCCCACCTTGGCTGCATCCAAAGCTGGCTCTGCCAATATTCAATGGAATGCTCCTGTGTTTTAAATAGGTGTCTTTTTATTACTTTTTGTAACTTGGCATTATATAATTATGACAGATAACTTATATCACTCTACTATAATATTATTGTAATATTGTATATTGTATACAATCATATTGAAGGTCAAATTTCAAAAGGTATTTTAGACATTCAAATTTTCTTTGATTACATAATAATATTAATATTTTATGGCTTTTTTCAGATCGTCCGAACAGCATACTCTTATTATGCTGTTATACGAAAATGAAAAACATTTGGGACTGTTTTCATGTAATTATAAGTATGTATTATTATAAAAAGTAAATAATATCACAATATGTAATAAATCACCATATAAATAAACATCATATATAATTACAATATGTAATAAATCACACTGTTTTTTAATACTAACTTAAATTTACACTGCGCCATGTAGTTCCAAGTTTCTAAGTACATAATATACATAAAAAATACCCAGACCAATACCAGCAATTACAATAGTGAATACAAATCTTTGTATCGTGCGATTAAACGAACCCGTGACATCGGAAATAAGCAGGTGTCCTAAACCGCTAGATCACTGAGGCCGCCAACAAATATATAAAAAAGTAACTATTAGGCACTTGTTATTTTATTATTATGTTATTTTGCACCCTTATAAAGGACCTACCTATATTTTGTTTAAAACAATCTTCAGACTTGTAGAAGATTTAGATTTGTCTATTCGAAATTACCACGAGGCATTGGCAAAATCAAATGATCGGAATACTTGTAAATCGTAATTTAAGGCGCCAAATTTTTACTTTTTGTTGTAGCGTATGGCAAATTAATAAGGTAACAGCCATACACAGTGAAAATGATAAAAGTAAAACTAAGCTAAATTTTTTATTGATTTTATTTATTTAACTATGTATATAAAGTACTAGCAGACTCACGTAATTTCTATCTTTGTATGGTATCTGCGTTTTCCCATTTTTGCAATATTTTTCAACGACGATCCATTCTAATTGGTATAGCGTCAAGTTAGTGTATAGCCGACGTGATAAATGAGCTATCAACTACAGAGATAATTGGTCAATCGAACCCTTAGATCATAAAATGAACGCGAACCAACCAAACTAACTTTTCAGCTTTATAACATTACAGTAGATAACTTCACAAATTATTTATTAGTCCTCATTGTTGTGTTTGTAGCCATGCAGCAACCGTCGGCTGATGAATGGATACCCATTTTATATTATTGCGTACAGTCTCGAGCGCACGTAACCGTGCAGTCGCCCCAGCGCCTGCTTCGGGATATTTCGCAAACCATGCTTCCATCTATAACAGTAATAATATTTAATATGTATAATAACCTTCTTGTTAGAAAGGTCTATGAAAATCTCCATTCTATTCATTTAAGATATTATCCTTAATTTCACTGCCTCATCTCCACCCTTCGAAATACCGCTTACAAAGCAAGCTGATTGGTGGCTGAAATAGATGAGACTGAGTGCGTAACTCAGAACTCACAATATAGACAACTTTTTAAATCTACCTTGGTAAACGGAATATACATCTTGATTTATAATAATAAATAATAATATTAATAAACCTGTACAATTTCCACAGTGTCATCTAGTTCCAAGCTAAGGAGAGCTTGTGTTATGGTTACTAGACAACTTATTGAAATATTTAATTACATTATATTTTATAAATACATACATGATATACACAGCAACACCCAGAACAACATACAACTATACACATGAATACAAATGTGTGTATCGTGCGAGTAATCGAACCCGCGACCGTTGTAAGTTGTGCTAAACCGCTAGACCACTGAGGCCATCAAAAATATAATAATGAAATAATACCTCGTCCAGCTTGAGTTTGGTATTGAACGAGCTGGTGATGCCTGTCACCAGGCCTCCTAGATATCGGCTGTTAAGAGTGAACCTGTCGACAAGTTGAGGCCAGTTGGACCGCACCTCGTCCCACACCAGCATTTCCCCAGACGGGTTACTACTGATGAAATGTAACACGCCTAGGTAGTCTTGACCACGGATATTCTTCTCGTCCCATGCCAGTATTAAGTACCTACAAAAAGGAAATGGGATTACATATATAGGAAATATATATACATATATATATACTAGCTGAGCCCGCAAACGTTGTTGTGCCATATAAATTAAAATCAATATTAAAAAATAAGGGTTGACAATATTCTTTATTTTTTTTATATAGTAGCATTAATAGACACGACCAACAATAACATTTTAAAAAGTATAGTTAGGGGTAGACATCCCTTATCCGTGAGGGTTATGACAAATAGATACTAGCCAAGTCACAGACCTATTGAATATGCAAATAAATATAATGCATAAAAATATAAATTTCATAAAAATCCACAATTCCATATCAACCATAAAAAAGTACATAATAAGGGTGTGGGAGACATAAGATGAGAAATATGTTAGTAATATAATTACAAAAAAATGTTATCTAGTGGTAATACTTAATATCGACATCGCATACAGCTATGACGCGCTCATCATCCTACGGCGGCTGCGAGCCGTCCAATATTGTGTATCTGTGGCGTATTACGTTTTGCGCGGGAAAGTAAAAAAAACCCCGCAAAATGTAAGACTTCTGTAGACATACTGATTTGATATGCTGTGTTAATTGTTTTAGTTTAGTGTAAATCCTTTTTTATGTCTTTTAATACAATATATACAAGAACCATAGTATAAATATATAATTTAACTTCTAGATATGCCTATGTGTAGTATTGGATTATGTACTGTATTACTAATCGGATAGAGTGTCGGATTAGAATCCAGTCTGTACCAATTCCACACTTCGAAACGAATGCGATAATCTGTTTTATGTGCCAGTATTATTATTAATATTATAGTATAAACGCGAAAGTTTGTGAGTATGGAGTATAGATGTTTGCTACTCTTTCACGCAAAAACTACTGAACGGATTTTAATGAAACTTTACTGTATATACATCAGAATAACATATAGGCTACTTTCACGCGGGTGAAACCGCGGGCACAGCTAGTAAATAAATAAATTTACTTTCTGAGTATAGTGATATCCCGTGGTGCTGACAACGCATGTCTAAGTTTAGCTTGTTCCTGCACATCTTCCTCTTTTAGAAGTATTTCCCAAAGTTTGTCCCATTCCAAGTGCGACGCCGACTTCATTCCTGCTCAAACACATTAATATTAGTGACTTCTCTCTTCCCTGCCAGTTTACAAAAAAAAAACCAAAATATAATATAATTATTATTTTTATTTTGATATAATATAATAATAATAATAATATCTCAGGACAATTGTAACATCATCTAGTACCAAACTAAGCAGAGCTTGTGGGTACAAGACAACTGATATAAATACATTTTTTGTAAATACATGTAAAATAAAGTACATATATTACAAAAAAAAAAACAAAGATAAATACTATAGAAAATTATAGGAACCACCCAGACTGATACAAACAATTATACTCATCAATACAAATATTTGCACTCATCAATACACATATATACAAAAAAAAAAACAAAGATAAATACTATAGAAAATTATAGGAACTACCCAGACTGATACAAACAATTATATTCATCAATACAAATATTTGCATCGTGCGAAAAATCGAACCCTCGACCATTCATTTTCTGCCCTACCAAGCATGTACACATAACACTTCCTTTAAAATATTATCTTTATTCCAGTACCCGTATGTAGAAATCATACCTTCATAATAAATCATATTTCTTAAATCAGTTTCTATTTCAATAGCTGATGCTGTGCCGTGATTGTTGAGCCACTTCAGGAAGAGATCCCTGACCTTCGCTTCTGCCTCAGGTAATTGGCATTTGGTAGCCTCCGATAGCACAGTTGTTCGAAGTAGCCTATTACAAATGTTATGTAAATGAAGAAACTATAGGTTTCAATAACAACGTTCAAGAACAGAAGAAAAGTTTCAGTATTAGAATGTTTAATATTCATCTAAGAATACAAATTTACCGAAGTAGAGATTATACAAAGTTCCCTGCGCTCATCTTTTTCAGTCGCCAAGGCTTCAGGCTTGCTTTGTAAAACGTGTTTGGGAGGTGAGATATGGCAATGAAATTATAGGGTATGAAAACAACATTATAGTCTTCCGCAATGGCAACGCAAGAGCGTTAAATGGCGTCATATGAAAATATCCATGGTCGAGTATATAGTTATTATTTGTCGCTTGCCATTAAGTAACCCCTTAGCTTGTTCGATATTTCCTGACATATTTATTTATTGTAAACATACCAGGACTACTTTAAAGCAGGTACCATAATACTAGTTACTGATATGATGACCTCATAAATGTGTAAGTTAATATAGTAACTATACAAGTAAAGATAATACCTCTCAATAACGCCCAACTGCGTAGTCTCCCACGTCTGTTTCTCGTACAAAGGTCTTACCAGGTTCTGAATATATTTCTGCAACAATTTTTTTTTGTAAATGCAATTTTTAATATGAAAATGTCGTTTTCATTATAATAATTGAGTATATATATCCAAAAGGTATAGTCAGGTTCAGCCTGATCGAGCCGTGCCGACAAAGGCGTTTGATTAGGCACTAAATCGAACGGCGTCGTCGGCACGGCCCGAATCTGATAATATAATAAAATTTAAAAATGAATAACCCGCAAGCCAGATCCAGGTCACTAAAATGATACGATCCATTTTGATATAGAACAAAAAACGAAATGGTTTACTAAGATTTATGTTTCTCTGAGACATTTGGTTTCAAAAATAATATAATAATAAGACTGATTGCTGTCTGAACTTGGAAGACATATATGAATAATCTTATTTTTAGGACTAAATTAACGTAATGGAACTTAAAACAATGTTTGTTAGAATTTTGTCTGTTTGTTTATTAATTCGTGCATAATTAATCCTTAATCTTAGAATGTGCATGCTATTCTCGAAATGGATTTGGGTAGAGTTTAAATGTGTTAGTTTTATTCCAAACGGTTTATAAACAAATGAAGTTTCATCAACACAGGTTCAACCTATATTAAATTATATTATTATGATATTAATAACATAGAACTACAGTTATAATCTATATTTACATCTCAAAAGCATGCACTTAAAGAATGACTACAATTATCTACTTGTAGAACTGTTTATCATGTATGACCTATGTGCATAATTATGATAAACTGTCATAATTGTTTAAATAATACAAAACAATTACGCTATTATTTTATCATTGTGTTAATTAATTTTCTTTAGTATTTGTTTACCTCTTATATATTTTTTCAATTTACCGCAATTAATTATTATATTGTGGTTGTGCCGGAACTATATATTCATATCTTATTTATAAACCACCCTAAAGGCGTGTTTAATACGAGTATTAAGATTTTATATACATAAAGTAGACTTGTAAAAATTCGCCTGCCTGCCACGCCACGCAGAACTTCGCCTATTTCTGTTTTTGGATGATTATGCATAATATCTGATTGCATTTCCTTACCTGTAAATGTTCATAAGCGAGGGTATTGAGTAGTCTACTCCTTAACGCAGAGAATATATGCGATGCAGTTGCCCATGGCACATAGTCATCTTCCACAACGAGGTAACTTGTTAAGTTGAGCGCTAGACCATACGACACTGCACTTGCTTCAGCTAAAGCGAACGCATCATTTAATAAGTGGGCACGATCGGATATGGTTAGCTAGAAAAATATATATTATTTAAAAAAAACAGTCTATTTGAATCTTTGTTTTTGTTTTACTGGTCGTACAACAAGCAGATACAAATTTTCGTCGTATTAACAGGAGTAAATTACAAAATAATATTAAGATATATAAAAAAATTCTTTATGTCCCGTTTTTCAAAAGAGCTAAGCATATGTGACGATTTCCACTTTTCTTAAAATAGGCCATCAACTATATATATATATAACATTCCAGTCAATGAATTGTAGCCATATAACTCATGTTGAAAACGACTAGAACTAGAAAAAATACTTTAATCCTGAATCTAGAAAGACGACATATGATAGATTGTGAGATAGAGCACTTTTTAAAATTATGTTTGATTTATTAATAGTAAGTATACCTTATATATCAATAATATACTATTATTAGGTACATATAAATTTAATACTGACAATGCAAATTTGGAGCGCCATAAATGGCAAATATTGATTATAGTGTATTTAGCGCATTTTTATTATTACAATTAGTCAGCGACATATTCCATAATTATATTAAAATACTAGCCTTTATTATATTAGTATACCTGTGATGATTTACTCTGCAATAAATTTACTAATTTCTGCCACATGGCATCAGTATAATTCACTCGGTAGTATCCCACTTGATTGTTATTGATTTTCACCCAATCTTCATCTGAACGCAATTTCAGTGTTACTGTAACCAATATTAATTGTTTTTCTGGTCTAAATTCGACCACAATTGGTCGAATTTTTTTTTTTCGACCATGGGCGACAATATTTTACTTGAAGTAGCGGTCGCCCAGTGGTCGAATTTGGACCATATTATATTACCATATAAATATTAGTATTCTGCACTCCGTCTTTATATAACTATAAGTGTGCGAATTTTCAAACGTCCGTGCAATTAAAAAGGGGTTAACGTAAAAGGGGTACAAAATTTGCTAGTATTAATACAATGATAAAATAACTGCACTGTAAATAAACATCAGTGACATATTATACTTATACTTAGAATTAAGACGAATTCATAGAAGACAACATATCAAGTAAATAATTATTTATTAGCATACAACGTTATAATTTGTTTATCTCATTGCTTTCTTGATTCAATTATTTTAGAAATATGAAAGCGTAGCGGGTTTTGTATTAATTTCCGCATGCATTCTTATGTGAAATGTGAATACTATAAACATCAGATGGCAATTGTGAGAGCTATGACGTGGTCTGGTGTTTTATATTTATTCATTAAAATGTCCAGACTTGTGGCGGCGTTGGGCCGGGTCATTGGGCCTTAAAATATGGTAATAATTGATGGCTGGCTATCCGTCATAGTCGTGAACGGGTGTTTGTAGGAACTGGTCACACAATCACTATGACTGATTTCCTCCTATTAATTGTTTAACCAGTTGGTTATGTATTCAATATTTTTTTCTTTTTGAGTATTTAATTGAATTAGTGCTAATCGGTGGTTTGTATTCACACACTTAAACTTAAAAATATAAAGAATTAATAAAATTATTTAAAAGAGCAACACACAAGTTTCTTGCTTGTTCTTCTTGTGATGAGACAGCATTCCGAATGAGCGGTAGATTAAAAAAAAAAATGTTATGACTATTCAAAAGGGCTTCAATGTAAGTTTATTTGAATAAATGATTTTCCATTCTATTTCTATTCTATTCTAAGTAAAGAAAGAACTTATTTTGTAAGGATAAAACTTTCAAATACCTTTTTATTTAAATAAAGGAAGAACTCTTCGGGTGTAAGTTTTTCTGAAGCTTTAGCATGGGTTGCCTCCAATAACCATTCATTTTCAAATGACTATACGAATTTAGGTCGATTCAGATTTAGATCGCTATTGGGTGATCTCTTTTTAGCAAACCAGTATTTTGAAGAGCTAACTTCATTGATTTATATTTATTCATTAAAGAGTCCGCTTTTGTCGTTGCCTTAAAATTAATAATTAATGCTTACCATAGTCTTCTGTGTTTGCGAACCACACAATACCATGATTTGCTCCTTTATTAGTCTTATAAGTGATAGGTATAAACCAACGGTAGCTGCAAACATAAATAAATTAGATCGGATTATGATTACAATATAATATTTTAATTTTTTTTAATAATATGCATTTGTAATTGCTCTCCCTTCCAGTTTTTCGAGAGTTGGACACGAGATGGCGGTTTATGAACAGTAACTCGGCAAAAATTGCATTATACGAGCAGCCCGCGAATGAAACGTACAAGTTGTGGGTAGGTTTCTAATATTAATAATAACAAAAACAACAAACTTACTTATAATCAGAATCATTTTTATAAACAGCCTCAGGATCAAGTAGGAATCGTGATTGTTTGATGACGTAAGTATTTGGGTCCTCACCATCAGAGACAGTCAACACTGGGTAACCCATTTGTCGGGTCCAGGTGTCCATTATGTTACTGTAATAATATAAATTAATTAAATCACCAGTAGTAGGTAGTTATTAAGATATTGAAAGTATTATGGTGGGCTTGCATGAATAATTGACGAATGTGAAGGAAATAGGGTTACTCCTTCTGCCTTCGGCACGTACCCTGGGTAAACTAGCTGTTAAACACACCGCTTTACTTCCAATGGTCGCAGTTCGATTCCTTGCACTGTACAAACATTTATATTCATGAGTATTATTGTTTATCGATATAGATGTTTTCTATGTATATAATGTATGTATTTACAATAAAAAAATTTTTTTTGTGTAGCTCATATTTGTACTTGTCACCTCTCTTGGTTTGTCTCTGGTATGTAGGACTGTAATATTTGTTTACTGCTCATTTAATAAATATCAAAACTTTATATCTGTTGCTATTATGATATATTTGCAGTGTCATAGAGAATTACCATGACTATACCAATTTTCGCTTGGTGAAGAAAGTAGTACAATATTTATACTCACGTAATATTTAAATTCGGATTATCTTTTTTAAAGTACGGCTCAAGACATGAAAGTAAATCTTGTGTCACCGTATTTCCAAATTCATACTTTTTAAGATAGTCCGACACTCCAAGACGGAATTTCTCGTCGCCAATAAAACCTTCCAGCATTCTTAAAACTGAGGCTCCCTGAAATAAATTAATGTATAAAATTTATAACAATAATAAACATAGAAAATACCCTGACTGATACTACATACTCAATAATACAAATGTTTGTACCATGCGAGGATCAATTCCTCATATTCAATACCAAATCCTGAGCAATTCAACTTACGACCATCGGCATGATACAATGACGGCCTCATAGAATCTGCCATGAGGCAGTCATGATGAAGATAATGTTGTATCACGTAGATGGAGATATTTTATTACAAAGACAGATGGAGTCGCATTTTGCAGTAAATAGTACAAGTTTTCGTTTTGCATTCCAATTTCTATGTATAGAATAATACCAAAAATAAGGTGTATATATATATAAATAAAGTGATTTGGGATATGTATATACATATCCCAAATAGAGTTATGTTTACATATAATAATTGAAAGTTATCGTTAATTTTACGTGAAGTTAATTATACTATTATGTATATTGAATAATGTGTCCATAACAATGTCGAACTGTACATTATTAAAGAAACAAATGTTGTATTCATACAAAAACAATTCAGTGTCATATTAACTTACCTTATGATAAGATATAGCATCAAATATTGCAGTTATTTGATCAGGTGTATTGACAGTCTGCACTATTGGATGACTTGAAAGTTTAGCATCTGTCACCAGAACTGAATGGAGAGTTTTTATGAGAAATTGGTCCAACTGAAACATCAATATTTGTATAAATTTATGTAGAATAATCAGAAAACGAGGTTTCATAGTAGACTACTAAATAATTTGTATGACATACATAAAATGAGAAAACATACCATAGTCCATGAAGGCTCTATAGCATTTAATGCTTTCACTTGCATATATGAGGCAAACCCTTCATTCAGCCAAACCTCATCCCACCATTTCATTGTAACTAAAAGTATAAACAAAATACAAATCTTTGATATTGTGAATTTTATTATGAAATTTTAATAAAGTTAATGAAAACAATTAAATATTTATCAAACAAATAATTTCCATGAGAAGATTAGTTATAATTCTTATATATTCTTATTAGTTATAAATCTTATCATGGAAAATATTTATTTGTGAGGTAACTTAATATCCACTCCATATCACCACTTTCTAGGAGTCCATCATCTCTGACAATGTCCTGAAGAGTGGAGATGAAAATATTCTTTAAAGAACAAAAATGTTGATGCACAAATTCGTAACAATCAAAATATAGCTGATACACAAACTTCTGGCATAATTGTAAAATACTATAAACTAGAGCAATGGAATGAATTTAGTGAGATCGTCTCAGGAATTTATACATACTTCTTTAAGTAGTAGTAGTGGATTTTTCTTATTTTATAAGCCTCTTGAGTAACTCAATTATTAAAATAAACTGGCACCTGTACAGCCTGTAAAGAAGTGTAACATTATTACTTACCTAAATTTCCAAACCACATATGTGCTAGTTCATGTGCTATTGTGTTAGCAACACTTATTTTATTATTGGATGATGCTGTAGATTCATCAACAAGGAAAGATGTCTCTCTATATGTAATAAGACCCCAATGTTCTGTTGCACCAGATACATAATCTGGGATGGCTATCATATCTATAACAAAGATACTGATTAGTTTTATAGCAATCTTTTAAATTATAATGTTGTAATTAGCAAGTTACATTCAGATGCAATTTTATGGAGAGCTAAATCTTTTTAAATAAAACACAACCTATGTTAAATGTTTATAATGTAGCTAGCTATAAATAAAATAACAAACCATAGGTATTAATTACATATTATTTATTAATTTCGAACAAAAAATCCGTTATTTGCCCTTTTTTGTACTAGTTTAGATGAAATCAATATACTTGCCTAATTTTGGAAGGGGAAAAGGTACTTCATAATATTTTATATAAAACTCAGTAGCCCTCTTCCCTATATCCTGGGCAAAATCAATTTTATGCATTTGATCTCTCTGCGCAAAGGACCTCAATGTGAAATTCTTGCCAATACCATTAGCATTTATTTCTGTTTCTTTAAAATCAAAATCACATACAACGAAGCAGGCTAAATATGTCGACATCGGTACACTAGTTGCAAAAGTTACTAATTCCAATTTGTTTTCTTCATCCTGTGTCTTAGATATTTCCTGAAGAGAAATTAAATAAATTTGATTTTTAGTTAGTTAATTAGTCTAGAATATTTGTACTTTTAAAATCCACCTTGCAAGCATTTAGTGCATATATTATACATAAAGGCCAGCTTCAACAATAATAGTAAATCAAATAATTCCACCTGATAAAAAAGAAAAATATAGTTAATTTTTAATATCCTTACATTCATGTTAGACAAAGCCACATATGACTGGGGCTTCACTAATGTTATATCATATGTCGCCTTGAAATCAGGTTCATCGAAGCAAGGGAAAGCTTGTCGAGCATATGTGGGTTGAAACTTGCTGGCCACCATTGTCCTGAAAAATACAGTCAAACTATTTCATTAAATATGAATAACAATTAAAAACACAGCACTTTGAACTACTATAACAAAAAAATATTATTACAATATTATTTTTATTTCTAATGCATTATGAAACCATGTAAATAATAATTAAATATTTTTAACAAAAAAGGTATATATTAATGTTTTTTGAAAAAACAATTAAATATAACTTCAATAAAGCAAAAGTACTCATAATATGAACAAAGAATGTAGGATACAATATTTTTAAAACAACATATTTAACTGAGATTTTTAGATAATAGAACTATTATTCTTAAAGTTTTATTTCAGTGACAACTACTTATTTCTTTTGTGTATAATAAAATTACATGTGGGTACATTATTTTACCTGGTATCCTTCAACCGAGATGAATAAAATCCAACAATATTCCTGGTTAAAGAACCACTGAATTCAATATCTAACTCATAGTTTCCTGGACTAAGATTACTATCAAATTTAATGAGTAATTGTTCAAAATCTATCACTTCCATATACTTTTCAATAAGAACTTCAGTGCCGTCTTTGTACACTTTGACACTAGATATTTTCAAGAAATTTGTATGAAGATTAATGAAGTTTTTCTCGTCTTTATTTACTACATTTATTTTCACGTTCCCTTTAAATAACCCTGATTTTAAATCAGGATTAAGAAGCAGCTTGTAGTGTACCGGTCGCACTAAAGGCGATAATCTTTCAGAAAGTTTAATATTTAACTCATTTTCCATTATTTTATTTGTGTAATACCGGTTTCTTAAGTTATATGAACTAAAATACTTTATTAGGTATATTTGCTATATTTTTATTCAAAATTAAGTTCATCAGTTACGCACTTTACAATACAATTATGCCACTAAAATAATATTAAATATAGAGCTATTGACCAATATGCACTCAAAATTAAACAGAGTTGGTTAATAATTTAAAAGTAAGATATATAAGATAACCAAAGGAAAACAAATATGAACAATGAAAATGCTAAAATTGAAATGTTTGTCAATATTGCACGATTGACATCATTCAGTCTGTCAAACTTTGATAGCTGTCATTCGGATGTAGAATTTGCCTTTGATTGATATTTGTTAACATCTATCAACTACCACGGGGATGCACTACAGACAAGAGCGACTGATGAGTTTAAAATCGGCGCGGAGCTACTAGATATTTTTTTTAATTGGTTGAAGTTATGTCAGTTAGCTTATGGGGTGAGGTGGGAGGTAGGACAACTTCCTAGTATGTTCCAGCATTGTTAGGTCCCCCATCGCCGTGGATACGTCCGCGGGGAACGACGGCTGAGTAATGATTGGTTATGGTGCGCTCCGGGCTGTATGGTAATCATGCCTTCGGGTTATCATTACCATAGTAGTAGTAATAGTCCGACAGGAGGGGCGGCGCAGGCTGAGATAATGGGTTCGGATAGAGCCCGTCCCGGCCGTCAATCGTCGCGTTGGTAGTCCGCTCATGCCGTGACTCTGCCTGTTGTAGAGACACGTGCAGATCGGGTGCGGCTCTATGTCGGCGGCAGTCTCAGGGATTTAAGTCTTCCGTCCTAACAAAAGATAGGGGAGGGCGGGAGGTGCGTCCCATATTCTAGTTTGTCTCCCTCAAGGTGGGGTAGAGGCAGGGGAACTGGGAAGAGTTCCCCCTGGTACATTTAGTTGCAAACTCGAACCCGGCGCCCTATGGCGCTGAAGACGAATGCCGTGGGGTTTTTAGTGAGTAGAAATCTCACAGTTCCCGTCCATCTAAACACTGAGACGGATTTTCCCCACGTTAAAAAAAGTTCAGTTAGCTCATCATCGCTAAATTGATACGGAACTTTATCAATATAATTTCCAGGAAGAACCGCGACGAGGTTAACCTGGTGATGCTATATTGCTAACAATTGGCTCATTACTACACATTAATAATAATACTCTTCCCCTCGCTCCTTAGATCGGCTTAATCGTCTGTATGCAAGTAGCCAGGGAAAATAATTATTATATTGTCACTATTATATTATATACAAGGCGATCACGCGCGACGTATCACTGTTTTGATAATGGTAAGTAGTAAGTGTTAAGACACATGGAAATATTAAAAGAATCCACTTGCTACTCAAAAAGTCCTAATAGCCATGACATTATCGCAGCATTAAATTTCTTTCTATACAAGGAATATAAATCCATATATCGATAGAATAAATATAAAGGTAAATAACATACAAAAAGACAATATCAACCGCTTCTATTTATAACATAATCTGCACTGATTCTGGAAATATCCCTTGCAAAGCTCATTATTACAAAGGGAAAAGGAAGCAAGTACAGAGGAGCTCGATAAAGTACGATCGTATAGATTGCGTGCTACTTAATCATTAATAGGATTAATAGTCTCCAGAATCAGCGCGCATGCATGGTATATGACTATAACTTGAAAAAGTGTACAGGGATAAAAGTGCAAGGAAAAAGCGATCTTGTAGTTCTCTAACTCCTATCGGTTCTGGTTTGTAAATATTTTTAAATAATAATCCACTTGAAAATAGTTAACTGCAGTGTACACGTAGATACTGCATATTTTTGGTATCCGCGCTCCCACCCCCCAAGATATAGGTCTGACCTACGAGTAGTTTGAGGACTACTGATAATAGACATTAAAATATTATTATATTATTGTAGTAATATCAATCTATTTTTATGTTAGGTTCTTTACGAAAAGTTATCCATTTAATTAAGTACCTACATAGTTATCAAATTCATTAAACCTTTTTCAGGCAAATCTATATTTAAATTTTCGTAATAAGATTAATTCTAAACTGTTTAGTGACCTATAAGATATAAAATTATGGATAGGTAAATAATTATATTTAAAGTACACTATTTTGTTTTGATAATGAGTAAATTTGTTTGCTTTTTTAATGTGGAAATAGATATGGGATTTTCATTTAATGCTAGAAAATACCTATATACGTAAAACTTCCTCTCAATTGAATTTATAGATTGAACTGGATGGTAGAGAATAATATTCGTAACATTCATACATTTTCATTCATACATATTTAATGTTCTTGATCAACTAAAATGTTCTAATATGAAGAAATGATTTTTGATTTGATTTGAATTTGGGTTGATGGGGTAAAACTTGAAATATATTTGAATCTTACTTAGTGTACCTATTATTATCTTCTTAATATTAGATAATATAATATTAATATTACTTACCTAGAATTTTTTAGACTGCTAGAATAGAGACCAACTATTTCTCTATCCAATCTTCCCGAAAATTCTATAATTAGCTTATAGATTCCTTTAGGTATATGAGTTTTTAGATAAATATTCAATAATTGTCTGTTATCTTTCGTTGTATTATAAGATTCAATATCAACCTTTTCAATACCGACGTCTTGAGCTTTCAAATTAACCGAAGTGATATTCAACTTGTGAGAATGTAAAGCAATCACACTAGTTTGTTCTGAAACTTGTGTTCCTATTTCCACTGTTCCATTAAATGTTTTAAGTAACATATTTGGTTTAAGGAGTAGTTTATAATTATTTGGCACGACATGTCTTGGTAGTCTGTAAAACGTTGGATCCTGCGAATAATATATTTTAATTTATTTATATATGTACGTTATTTAGTTACCATTATTTGTATATGGAAATGAAACTAGGGCATAAAAGAAAAAGAACCATAGTTGAATCAAGACTGGCCAAATGCAACAATTGTCCCTGATAGAGCATAATACTAACAGAAAAACAACAGTAATATATTTTATTAATAAACGGAAATCAAAGGTTCAAACGACATTCTGGTATATTGAGGTAGAATATAAATATAGAATGAATTTACAACATAGTTCCAAGTAGTGGAAAATTCTTTCCATCCGGTGAAAATATTATTAAAAATCGGCACTGCGCAGGAATGTCCCTAGCAGTCCAATATAAATCATATATCTATATGCAACAGTAAAACAAGTAAAGTATACGATTGTCAAATATTTTATTACAGGTTTGTAACTTTGTTCTGGCAATTACAAATGCAACATTAAAATAATAGAGAAAGTACAGCAAATAGATGAAGCCTTTCTGAATTAATGCGCTTTCATAGATTTTTGTAACATTAGATAATAATTACTAATTATGTATTATACCAACTAATTACTACTACTGTTATATGTTACAGTGTTATGAGTTTCATAGAATTAGATATTATTCAAGTTAATATCTGTACAATATTAAATAAATACTTTAAAATAAATTAAATACGTAATAAAATTACCTCATTGTTTCTGTGTCCTTTATTTGCAGTGCTCTGTGACCTCTCAGGTGGTATGTTGAGAGCCAGTAACCCGTTTTCGGCATTCTTCAATTTCGCGGAAACAGTTATAGTTGATATGAGTAAACAAACACATAACAATCCCAGTAACATTATAACTTTATTGTTACACGTCCATTGGTATAGTGTATCCGACATCTAGAAAGTACTTTTTTATGTAATTTACATTGTAATGTATATCTGCATTAAGTATATTATTATCGAGTATGATTCTTTGTATTGGTATGATAGTATTCTATGGATGTTATGTATGTTTTTAAAATATGTATATAAGTATGTTTATCAGTTGTCTAGCACTTATAACACAAGCGCTGTTTAGTTAGGGACTAGATAGTGCTGTATGACTTTCTCAGGGTTATTATTATTATTTATAGGTTCTCATACGTTTTATGTACCTATAAGGTTTACAAGTCATACTGTAGGACTTACTTTATTTACTTATCGAGATAGACTTTGCAGGAGTTGTATACGTGAGTATATCAGTTTCTCTATATAGTGAAGTGGACTAATAAACACATTGCTGGTAATGTACCTGTAGGTAGGTATGTAGGTTCACGCGTTTTTCCCTGGAAACCATCATGGTAAATTACCATTTGTGAAGATGGGTTAACTGACCTGACCATACACATTTTATTATCCTCCACTGGAGCCCCGCCTGCGTTAACTGTTAGCACAGGTAACAGTAACGTGAACACCATTCCATTATCATCATTAATAAAAAATACAGGTAAGAGACCTGACATCTTATCGTTGTATCAGATGCGTCAATATCGTATGATATAGTGAACATGAATGTCATCTACATGAACAAATATTGACATCACTATATATTGGCGACGGTTACCACTTACCATCATGTGCGCGTTAGATTGTTGTCATTCCAATTACTTAAAAAAAAAACATTTTTACCACAATTATAACAGGAGCTTATGCCAATTTGTCAAAATATTTCCGATAGCAATTAGTCAAAACACTCAATGATTCAATAAGCCCGCCCTAAATAAGCTTTGACATTATTAGCATACCTTCATGTTTTGTATACAGATAATTTTCATATTCATATTATTCCTCGTGATAAAATAGCATCTTATTTAGTATCAATACGTAAATATTAATATAATATAGTAAATACTGTAGGTATAATACAGGTGGATACTAATGCAATAATTGCAAGAGCTTGTCTATGGCAAATATAGTAATGGTACATATTACCTTTGACGAAAGTCCTAAAAATTATGTCAAATTTTAATTTCAGTAACATTAACAATTGTGTCTAGTTGCCTTATAAGTTAAGGGTAATAGGAGCTGACGTCTTATATTTAACTCACTTACGAGTTATCATAGATATCTATAATATTTAAATAAAATGCAAATGTACGTTTCATATTTCTACATTTAGTCGTACTCTCTGTTCCTTTATATTTTAGAATAATTTTGAAATAAGGTTGTAACCTAAAGACCGTC